GAATTTCTCTATGTGAGGCATGAAAGAAGGAATAACGGAGAAATTTCTTTATGCGGGGCAGTTGAAGACTTATAGAAGAAATTATATTGCAATTGTTTCAAAAAAATCTTAGCAATATGAAATTTCTCCTATCGCCATTATAAATATTGCGGTTTTCTAGAGTGCCTTAAGAATATATTTGGACAACGCCATTGTGTTTCATACATACAATTTTACAATTACACAACAATGACTTTAAATAATCGTCTCTTTGCATAATTTTATGACGAACAAATAAAACTTCAAGGACATCTTATTTTCAAGCCCAATCAATTATTTCCGAGATTTTGGTCAAAAATTGATTTATATTTATAGTCGTGCTGAATTTTGTATAATGCATAATGAGAGAGTCCTCACCATTACTAGTTAAACTCGCTCCACTAACTTGTCACATTGAGAAATATGCCAGCGAGTTCCTTAGTGATAAAAATACAGATGAGTCGCCGACATCACTCGGTGCTGGATTACTAATGATCATTCTAATAATTTAATATATCTATTATTATTATTGTTATTTCAGATAAAGATTTTAATATTTAAAAAAAGATTTTAATATTCGCTGCAAAGGTTTTGAAAATTTGGATATACCATATTAGGCCATACAATGTGCCATTGCAATAGAGTTTTCATTTACAAGACGAATTAATTGAATTAAATTAAGATTTATAAAAGGCAAAGTCCTATACTAAGGAAGTACACTCTAATGAGTATTAAACTTCTGCAACTACCAAAGATAATTTTGCCAAATGATTTGTCAAAAATTTTTGCTCGCTGAACTATTGGTTTTAACTTTTCGCATTTCTCACCTGATTGAAGCGGGGGTTTTTAATCATACAAATCGTTTATTATAAGTAACGGAATGAGCGATTTCAAATTATATATTTAAATTTAATTATATCTATATTTTTGTAAAATTAAAAATTAATTTAAAAATATTACAAAAAAATATTGCATTACATTGACCATAATCAATTTATCAATAGTCATAAATATGTTTTATTAGATTAGATCATTCAAATATTTAAATAAATAAATAAATATGTTCTTAGAATTTGTGCTTTCTATATTTTTATAAATTTTTGAATTTTTTTTTGTGAAAATAAATTATTATTTATTATCGCTAAATAAACATTCAAATATAAAATAAAACTATAACTAGTTTATAATATAACTAGTTTTAGCTAGGTAAATACCTCAAAAATTCTTCTTACTTATATGCAACTTTTCTCGAGTGAAATTCCCGTAAATTTTTGTAAAAAATTTTTTTTTTCGGCTGTTATCGTAAAAATTTCATTTTTTAATTAATTTTTCAATTAATATGCATAATATGATATGCGAAATCCTTTTTCAACACAACAAAAATTCCAAGGAAGTCGACAGGAAAATTATTTCTAATTCTCCCACTGCGTGCAATTTCATATGCTCAGTACAAGAAAAAAGCAAGAAATCTTGCTTTACTCCAAAATTTAGCTGAGATTTCAAATTTATTTTTCAAATTTTCTATTTCTTTCTATTTCTATTTCTTTCTTTTTCTATTTCTATTTCTTTCTGATAGTTTTCATTCATTTGAAATATTAATATTTATTTGAAATAAATTATTTCATTAAATACGTCTTTAGAACTTTTTACTTGCTATAAGAAAATAAAAATTAATTGAAAACCTTATAAGCATAATTGTTCTAATAAAAAAAAAAATTTTTCGACCATTCAAAGACTCATTAAAAATTAAAAATAAAAAAGACAACAAATTAGCCAAGAAATTTCTTAAAAATAATAAAAGTTTATAAGGTGAAGAGAAATTTGATGATTTTTGATAATTTTCCATTGTAATATTTATGTGAACCAACTGTTTAGTTAGGTAAATTGATTTTATGCTTTTTTTTTAGTGCTTTACTATAATATTTCGCCTGAGGCCACGTTCAACAATGTCATATGTTATTCTCATTAACAGCATAATTTTTTCAGTTATTTTTTTCTTTACCATTTACCATTTTTTTAAATTGTTTGTCTCTTTTTTAGTTTTTAAAAGCTTTCGACCATTCTCGGCCAGTGCAGTTTATTTCACTGCAAATCTATAGATTCTCTTTATCAATTTGATAGAATACCTCTTGTATCATTTTTTATTATTATTGATATTATTATTGCTATTATTTCTTAAAATTATTTATTGTTATTAATATCATTATTTTGTTACTTATTATTGTTATTAATATTAAAGATATTTTTCAAAGAGTAAACATCTCCAACAATTATTTATTTATTAAGGAATCAATAAGATTCACTAATAATTCTACGTTCACAAAGTGAATAAATCCATGGTATTCCTATAGTAACGAATGAATCCATGAAATTTCTAGGAAAAAAATTTCACTCAATTCATTATTTCCATTACTCGGTTCGATTCATTATTTTCTTCTGCATTCATTAAATTTATTGTTCAAGTTTTGCAAAAAAAAAATGAGGAAAAATCTCAAAAAATTGGAAAATTCGATTTGATTTTCCAAATTTTTTGTTTCTTAAATATTTGGTAAAAAATAAATAAATCATTAGTTATGCGAGACAAAAAAAGAGTTTATAACTTTAAAAAGAAAGATTTTTTTAAAATTTATTTACTTTTGCATATTTTTATTTTTAAATAATTAATCCAAATAATCGGAGGAAGCAAACAATTTGTCTATAATTTTAGCGCAAAATCGACTTTTCATAGATTTAATTTTAATAAAAAATCGAAATAATTTTATTCAAAAATTATTTATTAAGTTGATAATCTTTAAGAAGATCGCAAATCTTTGCAAAAGTCTGCTAAAAGCTAATAATTCTTTCTTAGAACAAAGAAATCTATAAATATCTACAAAAATAAAATAAAACTTATATATAAATTGCTCGTACATAAATAAAAGGAAGAAAGTGGCTACATGGGTTTTTTAATAAAAGGTTTACTCCTAATGAGCATTGAATTCTAACGCCTGAAACGATAATCTGGGCAACAACCATTCGCCTATGCTATCTCCTCGCTTACAAATAGTAATATTTAGAATATAAAAGTTTCTGTTTATAGACCATCTAAAAGGACCGACAAAAATTATATAATCGCATATTAAAAACAGATTACATTACAGATTAGATTACATCTATATAAAATTTTTTTTCTAATAACCCTTACCATTTATGGTTCCTCTTGTCACACCGTAAAAATTTTCGCTAAGTAATCACTTGACGTATAAATGAGCCTTCCAAAATGGATTTTTTTTGAGATAGGTTTATTCATATCGGGAAGCGAAATGAGAGAGACAACCTATTATGAGTACCATTCTACTCCATGTTAAGAACCAATGAATGCAAAACGATTTTCACAACACCTAGAATATATTAGAGAATATTCATAATTTGCAGAAGATTTCCAATTTTCCAATTTTAGCCCTTCAATTTTTATTTCGTAAGTTCGGTATGGTTCAATTTACCTGTGATTGAAGAGTTCCTTTTCTCATAGAGAGAGATATTTGAGGTGAAAAGTCATAGCCGGTTTCCCATAGAATTATATTTTAATAGCATCAAAGCTAGAGGAATTGAACCTATGATGGATTGTAGAAACCACTCGACTATTCTGTCCTCGCATAATTATATGATTAAAAATTTAAATTTTTACAAATTCAATGACTTCAATTTCCAGCATTTTTTAAAATTTAGAGTTTAGGAGTTCTTGGATTTCGTAGCAAGCTGGAAGACAATATTTGTTTTCTTGCATAACTTCATTTTTTAATAATTTTGATAATTTTGTAAATTTTGGTTCGATTGAATGATCCATAGGAGGATCCATTTTTTTGAAACGATAATTTTGAAAATATCGGCCTTAGACTTGGCTTAGTTTTGCCTGGATCTTTGGCCTAGCCTAGGCCTGAGCCTAAGCTTATACCGGAAGCGTAAATATAAGCCCAAGCCAAAGCCTAAAATCATCGGTTCGAAGAAATAATCCAAAGCGATAATTGAAATTGATAATTGATAAAAACTTGTAAATTTTATTTGAGGGCAGTAAATTTGGGAAAAATAAAAAATTTTATTTGCACTTTCGAATTATCTAATGAAATATCTTTCTAGGCTTCTAGGTTTTTATATTCTCTCCTTATATTCGTACTGATGAAATCATAGCTAGTGCTTGAATTCCGTTAAAAAATTTTGCTTTCATTGGTTAGACGGATAGGATTTCTCCAATCTTTCCTAATCCGATATGATTCCTCAAATTAATCGATGCTTCTCTTTTTTCCATTGTCGTTAAACTGATATCTGTCTTTTTAAATATTTAAATATTTTTAAATATAATAAATATAAATATTTGAATTCATTATATTCATTAAATGCCAAATTCATTACATTTAATAATTTTGAAATATTAAATTTTGCAAGTCTTTTTTTTTATCGAAAAATTTTAAGAAAAATTTTGAAGAAATATTTTTATAAATAATTGATTATATAAATTTTTAGTTTAGTTGTTTGTTGTTTGGCGAAAAATTATACTTTTATTTAATTGATATCAAATTGCATCATTTATTTATTTTAGTACTAATGGCAACCAATTTTTATGAAAATTTGAAATGATAAAAAGGATAAAATGATAAAAACAAATTTTCTTATTGATAAAAGATAATTATGTATATAAAGAATAATTTAAAAAATATGATATTATAGGGTTCAAAGGCCAAACTGCCATGAGTTTTTTGATAAATGGAAGTGGAAAATTTATTGCATTTAGCAAATCAATTCCACTTATTTGGGAAAGGTAAGATAATTATATTATCAAATTACCTCTGATCGAAGAATAATTTCAACTGCTAGCTTTGGCTTAGAAAAAATTTTCACGCGCTGATGAAATTAATGCACGACCTATAAGATTCCTTAAAGTAGCAATAGAATTAATTAATTAAATAGAATTTGTCGTTGATTAATTTTATATAAAAAAAAATATTAAAGCAATTTTCAATTAAAATTAAAGAATTTAGACTTGAACGATATGTGTCTACAACACTAAAATTATGCATTTCAAATCAACCATCTGAACCTTCGAATCTGACTGGCAAAGATTTAGAATTATATAAACTTTATCGACCCGAACGTGAGACACCGTCAAAACGAGGAGTTGCACTTCTCAAAACACCACGTTTGAATAAAGTTTGCATCTATTTTATCGTAAAGTTTATTCGGAAATGAAAGATTAAACGAGCGATTCACGTTGATAGGCTGTGCGCTCGATTGTGCCAAAAATAGAAAGAAAGATAAGCACTTTGATCAACTTTTATTATCAGGCTTATCATTTTAGGGAATGGCATTTGGTTTGTATGAACGACAATATTTAGGAATACATGGACTTTTGCCACCAGCATTTATGACTGTCGAACAACAAGTCTTTCGTATAATTACACAGTTACGCTCACAACCTAACGATTTAGCTCGATATATACAGCTAGACAATTTACAGGTCAATTCAATTTTTATCATTTATCAATTTTATATATATATATATATTTACAGTATATTTTCTATTTTTATTATATTATATATTTATTTTATTATTATACATATTTAAAATATATTTTGTATTTTTTTACAATATATATAATATATTTCGATATTACTTTATTTTTTTAATGAATTTCTTCCTATTATCATCATTGAACAATTTTGCACATTTTTTTATAGTTTTTGCAAATTTTTCAGTACTATGATAAAGTGATAAATGCTAAAAAGTGTTTATCAATTGTAAAATGTATCAACTAACGAGTTGATTATTCAGTTATGATCAATAAAAAGAGAAATTTTTTGTTCAAATAATAGCCATAATAATCTTAGTTAAAATAAAGGATATCGATAAATTTTTTATAAAAGCTGTTAAAAATTTTGTTAAGTGGCTCTCCTAAATTTAATTGCCATTGAAAGAGGAATTCAAAAAACATCTTAAATTCGAAAATTTTCTAAATATTCTATAAGTTCCTTAATTTATAACCTATAATAAATAATGATGACCACACTCGCTGAAAAAAAATAGATAAGAATCAGGTAGGCGTAAATAGCCGCTGGGTGCATAAATAGTTAAATAATTATAGATCCTCATAAAACTAAGCAAAAACATTTCTTATCGAGGTGCAAATGGTGCAAATGAGGCAAAATGAGGGAAAAAAGGAAAAGTTTCAAAGTTTTTTCTTATTAATTATTTGCAAAAACCTGTTGGTATTAGTTTCTGTTCTTCTAAAACAATTTGATTTTTTCAGGATAGAAATGAAAAATTATTTTATCGCGTTTTATGCGAATATATTAAGGAATTGATGCCAATTGTTTATACACCGACAGTTGGATTAGCGTGCCAAAATTTCGGATATATTTACAGAAATCCAAAGTCATTTTTTCTATATTTTTAATAATTTTATTCTTTTGAAATCCATTTAAAATACTATGAGAATAATTTAAACAGTTAAGGTGATAAAAGATCAAATAAATGTACATTATCAGTTATTATCAGTTAATAAGTAAGTTAAAATAACAAAAGATGATAAAATAAATATATTATCAGTTTGCCGCAAGTTGTAATATAATAAAAAATATTTTCAGAGGGTTATATATAACAATTAACGACAATAGTATTAGCAAAATCCATCATATATTAAGCAATTGGCCTGAACGCCATATTCGTGTAAGTTAAAAAAATTTCTATAAATTTATTCTTTTCTTATATTAAAATTCCAATTTTAATTGGTTAAATTAAAAATTAGGCGAAAAATTTCTTTTTATAAAAATTATTCTTCATATTTTTACTTTTATCCTAAATAATTTCAGGCTATTGTGGTGACTGATGGTGAACGAATTCTGGGTTTAGGTGATTTAGGAGCATATGGTATTGGAATACCCGTAGGCAAATTGGCTTTATATGTTGCACTTGGTGGTATCCAGCCTCAATGGTGTCTTCCGGTTCTACTGGATGTTGGTACGGACAATGAGGTACAATATAATATAATTTAAATTTAAATTTGAAGATTTAAAAATTTAATTTTAATTTTAAAATTTGGTTTGAATAAATTATAAAATAAATTATAAATTAAAAACATTTAATCAATAGTAACCAGAAAAATTTACATTTCTACCTCTAATCGTTGAAATGTTGAAATAGGCTGAAGGAAAAAATGAAAATAGGCAGAAGAAAAACATAAGTCAATTTCGACTTAAACTATTCTACATCAGCAGAGGGGAAGAGAACTGTTAACAGCGACCTAAGAGAGAGATTAGAGTCATGATTTAGTAACTGGTTGGTTTTCTAGGTCACGTATGCAAGTTAACATATCAAATTATTACTGCGATTAAAGAAGTCCTATAGGAGAATTTTTTGTTAAAATTTCAGACAATAATTGAGATCAAATTTGTATATAAAAAATCTTTAAGCATAAAAATTAATATCAAAAAAATCATCTCACAATGACGATGATCCCTCTCCACTTATATATTTAATACTTTAACATCATCTCGAGACTTTTTATACCTTAAGATTATTCCAAAGCTTATTTTATTGCCTTCATATCCGCCATTTCCCATTTAGCTAAGTACCGTTATGCATCTTTAGTATCTCAAATTCTTATCATATCTCTTCTTTTCCTTTATCCGCATCCTTTTTATACAAATATGAGCTTTGAGGAAGTTTGTAAAGAATATAACACATTTTGACGGCTTTTCAATTATAAGAATAGGCTTCAATTATAAGAAAATTTTTCAGTGGGAAAATGCTGAGGTTTTTTTCCTGATATTCATATATTCCTTGATATAATAAAATTGCTAAGGGAAATAAATTTTATGAATTTAAAATAAATTTTTATAATCTAAATGATAAATAGTAAATGCGGAATTTTTGAAGGAACTTTTAAACGATCCTTTTTATATTGGCTTGAGAAGGCGAAGAGTTCGCGGTGAAGAATACGATTTATTATTGGAAAATTTTATGAAAGCTTGTACGAAGAGGTTAATTTTCATTGAAAATTTTCTAAAAATCTTCATTCAAAACAGTTTTTTGCATAATATTTTATATTTTTTTCTGGAAAATCAGCTATTATCACCACAACGACGCAATAATCATTGATGATAATATTTCTACACCTTAACTTCTCTTTTCTTCTCACATATAAAAAAAAAGATGAATGAAAGATTGAAAAAAGAGAAAAAAAATCGACGATAATAATAGAAAGCATAATAGAGATTTTTTGGGTATGGGAGAATCTATACGATTATGGTTTAAAGTGGTACCATTTAGTTAGTAGACGCGAAGAAAAAGGAATTTATAAGAAGAAATCACTATGAAACGAAAGGAATAAATTATCCATAGTTGGCAATCCAAAAAGTAACCACTCTTTTCCGAATATTTTATAGCTTTCGCTGCCTTATATTCAGAATTCAGCAGAAAGCTTGGCTAAAATCTGACCTCATCTAAGATGACGAAAAAAATCTGTGTCGACTTTTTTAAACGCTAACGAGAATCATTTCTGAAATAAGCTTTGACGATAATTAAATTTATAAGTTTCTGACAATTAGTGGAAAAAATATAAAAATATAAAAATCAAATTTTATATAAAATATAAAATAATATTTGAATCTGTAATAATAAAAAAATAACTGGATGAGAATTGAATTTTAATAATTTAATAATTAAATTATAACAACTTAGGTTGCACTAAGATTCTGGCAAAAGTGATGAGTTTAAGAAAATTCTTAACTAAAAATATTTTCACATTTATCATTGGACATATAAAATAAAAAAGTTTTAAAAATAAAACTTAAAAAATAAAAATAAGGCTTTAAAAAAAATAAATTTGCATAAAGGTAAATATTAATATTAATTTAATAAAATATTGAAAATGATGAATAAAGGTAGAGAAAATAGCGATTTGTCAAAAGCATAGAAATCATATAATTTTACAAGAAAATAAAATTAATAATCCAAAACTAATTTAATTTATACTTTTTTACAATTTTAAATAAATTTTTATATTTTAATAATCAGCAAATATTAATAAAAAAATTGCATTAATATCAACAAGAAAATTGCAAAAAAAAAATTCTTTGAAATCCTTTATAACGTAATTTATATTTGATTCGATATAAATTATAAATTTTTATAAATATAAATATTTTAATTAATGATGGTGCTAAAAAAAATATTTTATTTTAGATTTGGTCAGAAAACACTAATTCAATTCGAGGATTTTGCAAATCAAAACGCTTATCGTCTTCTCGATCGTTTCAAGCAAAGGTATACGATCTTCAACGATGATATTCAAGGTTATTAGCGAATTTATAAATATATATATATATATACATATCTATAAAATAACTCTGATAATGATATAACAGTATAAAGGAAGAAGATAGCATCAATACTTCGATGTATAAAGTCATTGGTTCGATCATCTTAAAAGGCGAAAAAGAAAAAATGGATTGCAAATATAAAGAATAGTTTTAATTGAAAATAATAAAAATATATTTCAATCATGATTGATATATTTTGAATACATTTGCATATCAAACATAATCATAGACCAGACGGGGTCTAACATAATTATTATAGTATAAGTGAGTTTAAATAGTTACTACCGCGAGATTTAAAAAAAAACTCGAATATGTTCCTCGAAGATATGTTAAGGATGATTAAGGGAATTTAGAGGATTATGATAGGATCTGAGCAATTGAGGACTAAGAAATCATACTAACTTCCATGAGATTAAAATAATAATACAAAGAAGCTCTCATACCGTTATTACGAGAAAATAATGGATTTCGAGCGGTATTAAGGAATATTTAATGAGAATTTGGAAGATTTTTCTCAAAATCTGACAGGTTTCGAATAGTTACGTTAAACGATATGTTCCACTTAAACTAAACGTGTTTCATATACATAGCAGATATTTACTTGTAAAAAAAATCTAGGAAAGAAAACATTAAATCCTCGAGTAATATAGGAATTTTTATCACAAATTTTAGCGATACTAAGTTTTATGAATGAATGTACTCTAAGAGAATTTAAAAGAAATTTCTTTTTTGCAGGAACAGCAGCAGTTGTCTTGGCCGGTCTATTAGCGTGTTGTAAAGTTATGCATAAAAAATTGCATGAAAATTCATTCATTTTTTTGGGCGCAGGAGGGGTAAAAAATGATTAATTTTTCTTAGTTATTAAAAAACACTTAGAGCTGAACTTTTGAATTTTGAAAAAAAACTATAAATCATCTGAATTTTTTAAAGAATTATTAGGCAGCTAATGGAATAGCTGAATTATGCGTACACCACATGTGTGATGAAGGCATTCCAAGAGAAAAGACCTATGAACGCATTTATTTCATGGATATTGATGGACTAATTACGAAAAAACGAAAATCTTTAAGTCAACACCAAGTACCATTCGCTAAAGATATGGAAGAATGTAATGATTTACTAAAGGTCTAATCTAAGATTTCTTTCTGAAAAATCAACTATATTTCTCTTATATGATTTCTATATCAAATCTCCTATATGATTTAAAAATTGAATATATCTAAAAAATTAAGAATTTTCGATTAAACATATCATGCACAAAGATTGAAAAAAAACCGACTTAGTGCTAATCAGTCATTATCAGTTTATCAAAAGTAAAGGCCTTTTCAGCTTATCAAGATTGTTCGTCCACATGGTATAATTGGAGCGTCGACAGCTCGAGGTGCTTTCACTAAAGAAATAATTCGGTTTATGGCTGAAATAAATGATCGTCCCATAATATTTGCTTTATCAAATCCAACGAGTAAAGCGGAATGTACAGCAGAGGAAGCATTCTGTCATACTGACGTAAATATTCATTAAGCACTTTAAGATCTAAATTTTTTTTTTATTTTTTTTGAAAAAAAAATGAATAATCAACTTAAGAATGCCTTTAATTTTAGGGACGAGTTTTATTTGCTAGCGGAAGTCCCTTTAAAAATGTTCACTTTAAAGGACGTTTATTCAAACCAGGTCAAGGAAATAATGCTTATATTTTTCCTGGATTAGCTCTTGCAGTCGTCTTATTCCAAATACGCCATATCGATCACAAAATATTCCTGATTGCTGCTAAGGTTATTTATCAAAACTTATTAAAATAAAATTTCTATTATTTTAATTGATTCTAATTTTGATTAATATTGACTCTTTTTCTATTCTAATTTATTTATTGGTTTATTGTTATTTATTGGTTTTTATTTTAGACGGTAGCAAGATGTGTCACCGAAAAAGATATCGAGGTCGGCCGTCTATATCCGAGCCTGAAATCAATTCGAGAAGTATCTATTCAGATTGCTATTGATATTGCTGAGCATTCTTACGAGGTTGCAATTTCGGTTTTAAAAAGCGAATATTTATGGAAAAAATTTTTTCAAATATTCATATTTGATCTACTAATTTAATATATATAAATATATATATATATATATATTTGATACCGAGAGGAAAGATTTCGTGAATTTCGCTACGAATTTTTATTATTACTTTATTTAGCTCGTAATTTATAAGAATAATATTAACAGCTTAATATAAAGCGTATGGATCTTTTTTTAGTATAAAATATACATGCACATTGGGAAAGTGACGAAAATCATCTATGAGAAATCACAGATCAACTCAGTACCAATAAGCATATTTAACTGAAGGAAATGATGAGCTTTTGTGGGAGATTAGTGAAATTATAGACAATAAATTTTCCTCTTCTATGTTTCTAAACCTTTAGAAATCTATCTATGCGAGTTGTCCCTATATATCTTATTTGGCTTAATGATAAATAAAATCAATAAGATATTATAAAGTACAAAAGATTAAAAGATTATGATTAAATATTATGATTAAAGGATTGATAACCACATTTTAATCACATTCTTCTTCTAACAGCTCTCACCATTTCTGGTTAGATTAGCTGCATTGGATAAGACGTCTCCAAGCTGCTCGGTCTGATGCCATCGCTAGTAGTAATAGAAGCCATTCATTTTTCCATCGTCTAAGTTTGTGTATCGCTGGTCCCTCATTTTTATCACATAAAATTGTATAAAACTGCAACAAAATTACTTAATTATAAGGTATTTCTTTCAGAAAGGCATTGCCGATTTATATCCAAGACCAGAAGATTTGGAAAAATACATTCGTACGCATATTTATTCGACATCCTATGATGAATTGATCAATACAACTTATCAATGGCCAGAAAATGATATGAAACATGGTTTTCCTGTTCCGGTTTCCATGCAAGATGATATTTAACTAATTGCTTACTTTAAGTTACTGTTTTAACATATCATAACATATTTAACTGATTACTTTTACTTCTATGTTTTACATATGCTCATTTTTTCTATTCTTTTATACTATTGCTTAATAAATTATATCAATGTTTTAAAAAATAAATGTTTTAAAAAATAAAGAATGGGGGAGGAAGAGGGGGAAATGTGGAAGAATATTCGAATCCTTAATTATGATTGGAATTTTATAAAAATTTGATAAATTTTCTAAATTTTCGCCATCAATAGAATAAATCTAAAAGTTCAAGCTAATTCAATCTAAATATCATTTAGCTTTCTTCTACATTTCTTCAAAATCTAAAAAACTAAAGCTAAAAGAGGAAAGTAAAGGAGTAAGCCTACAAATATTAAAATTTACCAAATAGCAGAAATTATAATTATTCGTCAGAAGTTACCTATGTCATTAACGTAAACTAATGATTTATTACCTATAATATTACACAAATAATCCACTAGCTTATTAACCCTTTATTCTAACTAAGTGATAAGTTATCAGCTATTAATCCACTGGATCATTATCTTATTGACCATTAACCCATTGATATTCTATTCCACTAACCTATTAATAAAATAATCCACTCTACTACTAGCAAATTAGCTTACTGCATCACTTCTAAAATACTGTTATTTATTCGTTAAGGAACGAATACGCTTGATTCGAATATGATAAGAACCAGAAATCATTATAATTGTTAAATTTATTAGAAAAAAAATGGATAATTTTCAATAGGATATTTTTTAGTCGAATCATAAAAATGCTAGTAAACTGAATCCCAGAGCAAAATTCTATTCTCGATATTTTTCTAGGCTAAGCACTTTATCATTTTAGCTTATATTCGTTCAGCTAGCCTGTCGTCTTAGACACCAGCCACTTGTCGATAGAAGCACAGGTGAATCGCCAGATTTTTCTCGAATGACAGACCTACTTCTGCTGGAAGCGGTACCACAGTATCAGTGCTTTGAAACTAGAGCAACAACCCAATGAGCCATTCTATTAATTTATTTTAACAGTTATATTCGAACAATATTAATCTACTATTTATTATTATCAAAAAAATAAAATGCTACAAATCATTATAGCAATAAAAAGGAATATTTTCAGATGGAAATAAAGCAATGATTAATTGTTAATATTTATAACTAATAATCATTTAATAAAATTAAATAATAAGTTATTACTCTTCACAATAGTATTACACTGACAATAATGCATAACATAACTTCTTTATCAATGAACATCGTTTCAGTGTGGCTTATCAACCAATGTTCCCATCATTTTATAAATAAATCCTCCTTTCTGGATACTTTGCTTTTCCCATTAAGTAAGCAACAGATGCTTATCATTGCTTAGTGCTTATCATTTATGATTTGACTCGTTCTGCTAGCTGCATTTAGAAACTTGGCTAGAAAAATTGATGATTGATGAAAAATTGATAAAAATAAAAATATAGCTCATCAACCAACATAGTTTTTTTAATGGAAAATTTACTTGTGCCAGAGGATAAGTCAAAATCTTGACTTTAATACTGTAACCTAAGACAGCGATGGTAATAGTCATTATACAATATCTTATCCCTTAACTTGATTGATCAAATAATTGCTGATTATTTAAGTTAAACTGATTAAATTAGTTGTCTTTAGAATTTGAGCAAATTAGAACTAATTTATCAAAATTATTTATTCAAATTTTATTAATAAAATTATTAGAATTAAAGGAAATTAAAAATTTAATTTAATTTTTTTTAATGTGCCATAAAACCTTTGTCTGACATTGCCCCTTTATATCGTAAATTTCTTTCCAAGTTTCTTTTTGGGGTATCGAACAATCGAATATATATTGTGCATAGTTTTCAGGCATGGGTTTTAAAGAATATTGGCAGGTGATAAGAGATAAAAAGATACAACGAAAGTATACGAAAGAAAGGAAGTCTATGTAAAAGTACCATAGTAGAGGTAATATAAGAGTTCAGTGGGGTTACTATAGTATAAGGAAGATTAATGGTTTTAAGATGACTGAAAGGATCTTGGGTATGAAAAAGATTGTGAAAAATTCTGAAAAACTTATCAAGGGGACCACAACGGTTTACAATATAAAGGGGCAATGTCAGACAGAAAGAAAGATTTTATGGCACATTAAAACAATTAAAACAATATAGAACTCTGACTATGATTAATGAGTATAACAGGAGGAAGTTTTTAGAGAAATAAAGCCAAGTTCGAAGAATTATCAAAAAAATTATGGATGAACTATGATTAGAGTAAAATGGAACTTTGATGATAATATTGTAGATTCTAAAAAGCAACGACTCGATTTAGGAATGATAGAAGTATAGATGAGTCGACAAACATGATTTTTGCACAGATCCGTTCCGGCGGGGAATAGAACCGAAGCAACGACATTCCGAAATGAGAGCAAACTCACTGAACCATTATATCTCCTAAGAATATTTTATGGACTATATTATGTTAAAAAAAAATATTTTTTAACCAATTCTTCACATGTTTGCACCTTTCAGCTATTTTTTTAAAGGTAATATTCAATATTTTAAGTTATTTTTAAATTATACTTTAAAAAATTTAATAAATTTTAAAATTTTAAAACAATTTCTCAATTTTTTTTTTCACAATTTTTTTGGAATTCAATAACGTTCATTGTGAACTTATTTTTTTTTCTTTAAATTTATTATAGTTCATTGTAGTTTAAACTACTTTTGCCTAAGTATTTTTAACATTATTCATTTGCTTATTTTTTCTTGTCTTTTTATAGCTTTAAAATTATTGATAAATAATTTTTGATAAAAGAAAAAATTAATGATAAAATCAAAATAATTTGCATTAAATCGGTTTTTTTAGAAAAAATTTTTTATAAAAAAAAATCGTTTTATTATATTTGAATATTCAGAGAATAGGATAACCGAGTGAATTATTGCTTAAATTAATTTTTAATTTTAAATTTTTAAAATTAATTTTAATTATCATCTCGAGAATTGAATCATGAAAGAAACTTATATCATAAGAAAATTCGAATGATATTGATAAATCTGACAAGTACATCCATCATAAATTGTCGGGCGAAAGTGATTGTCTGGCAAAAATTTCTGATCGTATTATTAGCAACCAGAAACAATGAATGCTAACCAATCATCTTAATTCTTTAATTCTTTTTTCAACCACTCAATAATATTCCTGGCTAGACTGGTTCCACTGAAGCCTAAAAAAGTGAAGCCTTCCAAGCCCACAATTCGATGCCATATCTAAAAAATAACCAGTGAAAAGCCATACATTTTTTTCAGTGCTTAAATTCATAAATCAGATTTTCTTACTTTATATTTTTAATGGATTTTATTGAATTTCTTATCTATAGTCATAATCTATAAACATTGAGTCATAACCTATAAGTACTTTGACATCCATAAGCATGTCAAAGTCGAGTGATAGATTCGTAACTGCGGATTCCAGCCAAAATGGTCTCGATGAGACTTCTCTGGCATATTTGTCTAGTGCTTCACCTGAAAAACTAATTGAGCTTACTTAACATTGCCGAATGTTAGTGGAGCTCGGTAAAGTAAATAAAACTTCTGACAGATAGCCATAAGTTTTTTATTAGAGATCGCTAGCCATTGCTGGTTAGACTCGTTCCACTTTCTTATTGTCCTAGCCAGGCAAGTCATTTAATTATGGAAGGTACCGATGGATCAACATCATTATATCGACTTTTGAAAGATAATTTCACTCCTTCTGTGAATAGAACCACAATTTTGGCATTCTGAAGCAACAGAGATGTATCTCTGTTATCAACAATTGTCATCATTATCATTCCATTTATCACTTCATACTATCACCAGTTTATGTCTTGGAATAGTTATTGAACTCAATAAAAATCCGATATACACCATTGAATTTATAGCAATTTATGGATGCATGGCTTGGAATGAAGCACAAGCGAATCGATTTTGCTTCCTCGTTATTTTCTTCTTTTTCACCCTTATTATATTTACATTTTAGTAATTTTCAATTCCTTTTAAATCTTTTAAATACTGCTGAGGTTCCACTTCCCCGCAGGAGTAAATCCGGCTAATGCTGTTGACCCACCTCTACTTCTATCGCCGAACGAATTAAAACCCTCTGGGCATATTTGTCTAGTGCGATAAGCTAGCTGAGCGAGTCAAAGCAATAATGGCTCTTACAAAAAAAAACAGTTAATATAATCAGAAATTTTTTTGCCAAAGAGTCACTTGACGATAGAAATACTTAGTATAAGTGGGTTAATAGCACTACTCGAATATCTTAATAACAGGCTAGACCCCTACATTCGATAATTTGAATCATTATCCACTCGGCTATCATATCCGCACATAATTTAAAAGTATGTTAAAGAATAATACAATTAAAGAAAAATCCATGAAAATATATATAAAAATAGATAATAATAATAAAATAAATAAAAATAAAAAGAAAATAAACAAAATAATAATAATAATATGTAATAATATGTATGAAAATATGTATATAATGTAAATAATATCTACAATATGTTTAAAAAAAATGATTAATGTAAATATGCACAATATGTAAAAATAAAAAAATTCAAACCTAAAAAACTATTAATTATTATGAAATTTATATATATTTACAAATTTTTATTTATATTTATTTATTTTATATTTTATTTTATTCTACATATTTAACATTTTTATTTTTTTTCTTCTTGCAAGCGCTCATTTTCTCTTATCATTTCCGATTAGGCTCAACTGGCTTGTTGGACCCGACAAACATTTGCTAGTCACTTGTCGATAGGCACTCAGATTTTTTGAAGGACTCATGGAAAAAAATTGCAACATTGGCGCTATTAAATTAGAACCTATTTTATTTTACTACTCAAAATCACCATCTATAATTTTTCCATTTGTTTATAAAATACCACCATAAAGTGTGGAGGGCAATATGTGTTCGCTAGAATTTTTTTAAACAATCCACACCATTACTAATTGAATTCGCTCCGCTGGCTTGTCACACTGGACAAGCCAGGAAATCCCTTGGCGATAGAAATATAGGAGAATCATCCAGCATCCTCCGGATTTTTGGTCAGGTTTACTCCTCCAGCGAATCAAACCTCAACATCGGCGCTCCCAATCGAACAATAACCCACTCTGCACTAAACTATCGACATTTGCAACAATAACAATAATAACTATCAAATTCTATTAAACTGTCAGTGCTTAATTAATTAGACCTTATTGCTGTTTATCTATTTGCTCCTCGTTAGATATATTTTTTATTGCAATCTCCTCCGCTCAACCGCTCAACCCCCCCCCCCCCCCCCCCCCCCCCCCCCCCCCCCCCCCCCACCCCTTCCCACCCCTTTCCCACCTCTCCGGTCAATCCAGTTTATTACTCTTTACTATCTGGTTTCAAATCCCTTTTAACTGGTTCCTTCTTATTTATTCTTATTTTAGCTATGAATTCATGCACACCACTCGTATATAAAGTTCATTTGCTTAGTTTTCGTATTTCGAGGTCTTTCATTTGACCTCTCTTTGAAAGGACTCATTAAATTTGACCTTTTCTTATTTTATATATATATATATTTATTGTCTCTATTGATTAGATAGAAATGTTTAAAAGATGTTGATTTGATGCAAATCAGCATCGTTCGTTGTGGTTTATTGGAAAGAAAGGGTTTTTAAAAATTTTTTTAATTATAAAAATTAAAATTATTATTATAAATAAGTAAAAATTATCATTAAAAATTAAAATTATTAAAGTAACAAAAATTGCTAAATTATGGAATTGAAAAAATTATAAAAATATTTAAATGATTTAGGAATAAATAAAAAAATTCTTATTTTTCTTCTAATTAAATGTGTAATTTTTAAATTTTATCAAATTTATTAATTCAATAGAAATAGAATATTTTTCTTAGAGAAAAATTAATAAATTTTAAATAAAAATAAATCAGTAAAAATTAATAAAAAATTAGAAAATTAATAATAAAATTAAAAAAATTAAATTAATAAAATTAATAAATGAATCATTTGAGATATCAAATTGAGGTACCAAATCAGTTTTTTAGGCATTTACCTAGCGGGGATTAGAAATTTAGCATTCACATAGCGGGGAATAGAAATTTAGCATTCATCTAGCGGGGAATGGAAATTTATCCGAATTATTATTCGAGAAATTTCTTTTTTTCATTTTATATAAAAAATTTATTTAGTTCGTTCTTTTTTAATTCTTAATTTTTATAATTTTTTTTTTTTAGAAAATGTTCGCTAACAAAATGAATTTCATCAACAAAACTATTCTGAAATCCAAGTAATTTTTTTCTTTTCAAATTTTTTCTTTTTTATTTTAAATTTTTTTAAAAAGATTAATATAAAAATATCAATATTAGATGTTATTAGATGTTATGTTTCTTATTCTTTAAATATTTAAATATTTTTTATTTTCTAAATATTTTTTAAAAAATAATTATAAATTATCGATATTAAATTTTGTAATTGCTCTATAAAAAAATATTAATTTTTAAATATTTAATTTTGTACTAAAAATTTTGAAATTTTATAAATTTAATTCATTTTTAGTGTTTATCATTTAAAACTTTTTTAAAATTTTTAATTTAATTAGGTTAAATTATTTTTTAACGTAATCATAGAAATGATGGTGAAATTTATTGGTGAAATTTCTGCAAAATTTCCGAATTTCTTCATTTTTTGTACAAATGTACAATAATTTGTTAATTGGTTACCATTCGAACGGAAAATTTTTGTTATTGGTTGTGGTATTGGTGATTGATGGGAATCGGTTGGGTTCGGTGCTGAAATGGTGGCGTTGTTCGATAAAATGCTTCTAATGATTTCTCTGAATTTATCAGAAAGGATAGTGCGTCTTTGATATTCTAATATGGTCAAATGTTGCTGTAATGTTAACGAATTTACCGATAGCGGTCAAATTATCAAAATGAGGTGCACAATCTTACTTGCAATATTGTTGAGGCAATGGAATTCGGCGTATACTGTGCAGTGAGAGAAATATTAATACTGGCAACATTGATAAAAATAATCATCTGCTCCGATGTATTTGCATTCGATCGAAATAATTTATTACTATTTTACACAAGGGAATTTGCACTATTTGCACTATTTGCATATTGTTTACTTTTTAAATCAACCATTAAACACAAAAACATAAAACATTTTTATACTATTTAGAAAGATTATTTAAAGGTCATTTGGTGTTACAACTTGTGCACTTTTATGTTCAACAAGTAAAACGCCAGACGTATCAAAAATGAGCGAAAAAGAATTGGAATTATATAAATTGTACCGCCCTGAACGAGAAGTACCAAAGATTCGTGGAACCGATTTACTAAAGGATCCTCGTTTAAATAAGGTTTATTATACCGATTAGTAAGAAATTTATAATTTAATGAATTGAACAAATCGAATTTTTTCTCCGATTTCATAAGTTAAAATTTTTATGAAATACTAATTTTTAATAAGTTGAATTTCTTATTATTATAATAAAAATAAAGTAAAAGCGAAGATGAAAGATGGTACCACAGAGTTTTCATTCAAAGTTCCCGAAGAATGGGAATTTATTATTATCACGAAAAGACAATAAGACTTATTTCACCGTAAAACCGTTTGAACTGTTGAAAAATAAAGATTTTCATTTTTGCGACAAAAAATTTCCAGTAAGCGAAAATTTCTTGATTCTATTTTAGAATATGAAAATTTATTCAGGGTATGGCATTCGGCCTCAAGGAACGACAATATCTCGGCCTTCATGGATTACTGCCTCCAGCTTTCATGACCGAAGAACAACAACTATATCGTGTTATTTCAAAACTTCGAGCTCAACCGAATGATTTGGCCAGATATGTTCAACTTGACGGTTTACAAGTTTGGTTTTATTATATTATTTATTATATATTGAATGTATTTTTTATTTTTTATTTCTCATAAGCGATTTGTTTTTGCTTTCAGGATCGCAATGAAAAATTATTCTACCGAGTTATATGCGAACATGTTAAAGAACTAATGCCAATCGTTTATACTCCAACAGTTGGCTTAGCGTGTCAAAATTTTGGTTATATCTATCGAAAACCAAAGTTAGCTAATTGATAAAATTATAAAATCACTTGTTTCATGATGATTTCTCCGAGCATAGAAATTTTTTATAAAATTTTTCTTTATGGATTTGAATTTGAAGGCTTTCATCGTCATGCAAAAGGTTATTTGCTTATACCGATTTTAAGATTCAATTTGAAGGCTTTCATCGTCATGCAAAAGATTATTTGCTTATACCGATTTTAAGATTCATTGGAGGATATTTTCGCACTCCATATTTTTCTTGCAAATTTAAGCAAAGTTCCAAAAACGTCGACTATTTTTCATTCCAGAATAAGATTTTTTAGAGAAAAATTGCTCTTTTATACTCTTTGTTACAGTTGAAGATATTGCGATTAGTAGAATTTTGCTATCTGTAACAATTTTCGTCCACTGGTCAAAGAGATAAGATAAGAGATAATACGTTCTATTCGTTAGTGCTCCGAAGGAATAAAATGATTTTCGTGTTATGCTCAATTACTATCGTACATATCAATTGTTTTCATGAAGAAAGATAGATAGTCCAGTGAATTATTCTATTGAGAGGTAAATGAATCTTCCTCCTCAATAGAAAACCTGTTATTAGAAAAATCCGGTCAATGGTGACGACTTTTCTATGCTTCTATCACCAATTGACCCTCTGTAAAATGTCTAAGCGTATTAACATGGCCAATGCAGCGAGCCTGACCAGAAAAGGTGACCACTCATTCATGGTTTTAGTGAGATCAAGGGGAATTTGGTTATTTGGTAGAAAATAACGATAATATCCGTTAATCGGAAGCTCAAAGCTAATAAAACTCACGAGAAAACGATAATCGAATTGAGCTTTTCAGATTCTTCAACTGACTTCAGAGATTAAATTTACTTTAATGTTGGAATGAACTAATATGAACTAAGCGATTGGAGCAAAGCAACTCTTCTTACAATCCTCAAAAAAGGACTATAGGATCTACAGTTGCAGTTATCGAGGAACTAACCTACTAGACGTCTATGGACGTCTTTTTTTGTTATTAATTAAACTTATGGCAGTACGATATGCATCTCCTGAGTATGTTGGATTTAGGCCAGGGATGCTGGCAAGCTATAGCGTTATTAGACCAGATTTTTTCCTTCAGCCGAAAATCGAAAAAAGAGATTTTATCACAAATTCGATCGGAGCGAAGCTCCAAAGTCTTGCAGTTTTGGACTAATATCGAATATCTTTTGGTTCTAATAATTGGATGGATTATTTTCCACTTAATCGTCCGTTCATTTCATGAAGTCCACTTTTTTGCCATTTACTCGTTCAATAAAGGTGAAATCAAAAAAACTTGTTCTTGATAGCCATTGAATTTTCAATAGGAGAAAAATTATCAAACAAAAATATCAAGCAACATTCTTAGTGTGAAGTAATTAACTCTGCACCAGCACGGTTGTAGAAAAAAATTTCGTTCTATGGTAATCAATCGACAATTGGTCATTGATAATTGATAAATGATAATTGGTCCTTTTACGATATTTCATAGCTAAATAAATTATTTAGATTTTCATTCTTCGGCAAATTTCTATTTCTCATTATGTTTGGTTTTAGATTAACCTAAGTTTCATTTGCCATTTATTATTTTTCCACCAATTGAGAATATGAAAATATTCTATTAATTGTTTTGTGTATCCTTAATAGGAAGAACTTAGCGGAACTTTTTTAATCGAAGTCAAAGACCCGAATATGGTACCAAAACCGAAAAATGCATAGCGCTCTCGTGCTCGCCAAACACTTAAGTAAATAATGCTTTATGTCGTTGCTTATCATTGTCTTTTCAGGATAGTTTTTCCAGACAAAACTTTATTTCTATTAGAAGAAAGCTTTTTTTTTCTTCACAAAATAGTTGTATTGTCAAAATGTGTCGCATTTTCAGATGTCGGCTCGAATTAGATAATTTTTCGTTAATTTTTTTATAGGTAGTAAACTAATGCCGATTTACATTCCAATGGCAATTATTAAAGAATTTTTTATTTTAGTATTTTAATAATCACTTTTTACCGTTTTTTCTATTTGGTTACTTAAAAGAAAAAATTTTTTTTTGTAAAAATATAAATAATTAAATAAAAATATTATTGCATTAAAATTATATGGCATATTAGAAAGAAACGAAATTTGTGCGATAATAAAATTATTATTGAACTTAAAAAAATCAAATTTATTAAATTAAAATTAAATTAAAATTATCGAAAATTAAAATTACTGGAATTATTGAAAAATTGAAATAAATTTATTGAAATACTTTTTTTCGAAAATTTTTTAAAAAATATTGAATATTTAAAAAAATATTTAAAGAATATTTTTCATTGATTAAATATTTAAAATATTTATGCTAAAAATTCGAATTTATCTGAAAATTAATCCAAAATTTTTTGAAAATTTTTAAATTTTAAAAATTTCTATGAAATTCTTGCAGAGGCATTTATGTAACAATCAACGATGATAGCATAAGTAAAATTCATCACATTCTTAGCAATTGGCCAGAAAACGATGTGAGGGTGCGTTTCCTTTTGTTGCTTTCAATTGCTTAATTACTTGCTGAACTCGATTTTCCTTTTGGCGAAGTCGAAATGTTGCATTTAATTTGGTAGGAAAACACGAAAGGCGAAAATTCCTTGTGCATTATTTTTCTTATAAATTTTCGAAATTTTATAGGACATTTAAATTTTTTTGATGGAATTTTAGGCCATCGTCGTCACTGATGGTGAAAGAATTCTTGGTTTGGGTGATTTGGGCGCATATGGTATTGGTATACCCGTCGGCAAACTTGCTTTATATGTGGCCTTAGGCGGTGTGCAACCGAAATGGTGTCTTCCAGTTCTGTTGGACGTTGGCACCAATAATGAGGTTATTTTTGATATGCTACGATTCTAATTCTGCTGTGATATTGATTTACTTGTTTCTCTTGTTTTCCTTATTTGTCCTATTTTCTATTAGAATAAATTATATATTAAATTAAATTATATAAATTATGAAATATATATGTATCTTTGGTGATGGTAGCAAAAATCCGGGTGGTTATTGGAAACTCACCTGCAACTATAGTGATTCCCAAGTGATTCTATGGTGAAAATTATATGAATATTTCTTCATATTATTGCTTTTCTTTCTGCATTTTCCTGAAATAAAAGAATTTTCTGATCTCTTATTTGCCGAAATTTTAGAAATTACTGAATGATCCGTTTTACATCGGTTTACGTCGTCAACGAGTTCGTGGTGAAGCTTATGTGAAATTCGTTGATAATTTTATGAAGGCTGTCACCAAGAAGTAATTTTTTTTCTTCCCGATTGCCTTTTTCACTGATCAACGGTTTCGCTGATTTTTAAGGACTTGAAAATTTCATAATGTCTCGTAATATCTGAGATTGCGTGTTTGGATTGTGGAAAAACTTTATTTAACTTTTTTTTATCTTTTGCCTCGGTCTTTTGCCTCCTTTTTGTTATATTTTTAGGTTTGGCCAAAATACACTCGTCCAATTCGAAGACTTTGCCAATGTTAATGCGTATCCTTTCCTTGATCGATATCGAAATAAATACACAGTATTTAATGATGATATCCAAGGTTATTATTTTTCAGTTGGTTAGCTTTGTTTCGTTTCAATAAGATTTTCGATTACATACTTCTAGGAACGGCTGCGGTTTGCCTTGCTGGGCTTCTTTCGTCTGTTCGATCCGTTAACAGATTGCTGTCGCAGGAGAAAATTGTATTCCTTGGTGCTGGAGCTGTGAGTTGATTTCTTTTTTAAATAATTAATATTTTCTTTTTTTTTAAATCGTTGAATTGTTGAAAAGCTTTTAAATACTTTGCTAGTTTTATTCATTTATCCTAGTTTTATCCTTTTCATTATAAAAATTCATTAAAAAAATAATAAAAATTAGGCATCAACTGGCATTGCCGATCTCATTGTAATGCAAATGGAAAGTGAAGGATTGTCGAAAGAAGAAGCACGAAGTCGAATATTTTTAATGGATAGTAAAGGTCTAATTACAAAAACAAGATCGGAACCAATCAAGGAAATGCACAATCGTTTTGCTAAAAATATACCACCAACAAAATCCTTGCTTGAGGTGATTACTTTTTTTTTGTTTATCTTGGCTTTTTCATGTTTTTTTATTTGACTGCATGCATTCAGAAAAGATTTATTTTCTAATTTTCAATTTAAAAGTATGCGAATTTGAAAATTTATTATAGTTATGCAAGTGAAACCTTACGGTTGCGTGAAAACGCTGGTATTCACTTTGAAATTTCCTCAAAATTAATGTTCTCTTGACAGTTCGAACTTTGTTTCACCCTATCGGCCCACCAAATCTTCTTAAAACCATTTAATTCCTTGTATAAGCTTTGAATGCTCACCTTCATGCAATTTTTCATTTTGGTAGATAAGCTGAACAAGGTTTGACGACCGTTAAAAGTGGAATCGGATCTGAGGAAAGGCTTTTGCGAATGAACTGCAATAAGAGAGTAGAGCGGAGTTTTGAGGATTTTAAGGAGATATTTATTTTGCTAAAATACCACTCGTCATAAAAAAATTATTAAAAGGTTTCAATATTGAAATGGGAATAATTAACAAAAGAAATTATTATACTTTTTTAACCGCCTAGGCGTTTTAATTTTTTGAATTTTCCCCTAACTGAATAAATTATGGCAGTTTCAGGATTAATGGATTGTTGAGAATTATTTTTAAACTGATTTTAAAAACTATTAAAATTCGATATTTATATAGGTGATTAAAACCGTTCGACCGACGGCCATTATAGGAGCGTCAACGATTAAGGGTGCTTTCACCGAAGAAATCATTCGTACCATGGCCAAAATCAATGAACGACCTATAATATTCTCTCTGTCGAATCCGACCAATAAATCGGAATGCACAGCAGAAGAGGCTTACCGCTTTACAGATGTAAATTAATTTTTTTTATTTGTATAATTGAATTTGGCTTAAAATTGAGAAATTTTCATAAATATATAGTGCATTTCATTTATTGTTCAAATTTTTTTATATAAAATTGCTTATCAGTTGCTTATAATTTTTTATTTGCCGAATTATTCTAATTCATTTATGCAGGGACGAGTATTATTCGCGAGTGGCAGTCCATTTCCAAACGTGGAACTGAATGGGAAAATTTTCAAACCGGGACAGGGAAATAATTCGTACATTTTCCCCGGGGTGGCTCTCGGAATAATATTGTTCAAAGTTAGACACGTCGGCGACGATATTTTCCTTCTTGCTGCTCGAGCAAGTTTTATTCGCTTTTTTCATTCCTTAGTTCTTTTCGCAATACAGAAATTTTGACGAAATATGTAAAAAAATATGTAAATGACGAATTTCATCTGAAAATTTTAGTTAATCTAATTTCAGAAAGTTGCTTCATGTGTGAGCGACCACGATTATTCCGTCGGGCGAATATTTCCACATCTGAAGAGAGTGCGCGAGATTTCCATACAAATAGCTGTCGAAATGGCGAAATATTGTTACAAAGTAATCACAAATAGCATTAAATATAATAATTCGTTTAACTATATATGAATCACAGGGAAAAGTAGATTAAGTTCCATCAATATATATGTCGTTTAATTAGAATACTGGATTTCAGTTTGGCCCACAGTCTTTAATGGTTCTTCATTTTTCTAATAATCCACGCTTGCTGAAGTAATCGGGGGGAGGGGGGGGGGGATGAATATCGAAAAAGACTCAATGTACATGAAAAATATATTTTTCAGAACGGCACAGCTGATTTATATCCACAACCCGAGGATTTGGAGCAATTTGTTAGAGCGCAAATATACTCCACATCTTATGACGAAATGATTAATGTTACATATGACTGGCCAACAAATGATATGAAGCATGGATTTCCCGTACCGCCACGTAATTACGATAGCGCCGAAGATGAGTGAACGATTAATATTTGTACTTCTCTTGTTAGATTTATCGTTCTGAGCGAATATTTATACTAAATATAGCTCTTTTTTTGTTTTATTTTATTTAACCTAGGCTAGAAACCAAAATCCACAATATTTATCTTATCATTATCTTAACATTTACTATTATTTCATTCATTTTTATTTTTCTTTTGGTGTTAATTCTTTGTTTTGCAAGATTTGTGTCAAAATATGATAATCAATATGATAATCCTAATAAATCTATTCACTTTTTGGATAAAAGCATTTTTTCAAGATTCCCTCTTTTCTACATCAAATTTTTATCTTTTCTAATCTCGGGCTTATCATTTATAATATCTTTATTTATAATATCATTTATAATATTTAATCATATCTTTATTTCCTAATAGAGATATTTTTATTCAATATTTTTATTTTAATTTGTAAATATATATCAATTAATATATATAAATCAATTTGTTTTTTGATTTTTTGCAAATATCTTCTTTTATTTGATTTTGATACGTGGATGGTATTTGAGAATAATACAGTTGAATCAATCATAGAAGAAGAAAAAAGACTACATTAGTATATGGTATAAGGTGGATTGATAAGGAAGTAATATGACGATTAGTAATAATATGAGACAAGATAAATAGGGAAAATGATAAAAAAGGAAGATGCATGATATGATCGTATCAGATTAATCGCAAATTATCACTATCACTATCACTAGTAAGTAAGATAATAAATATTAAGTATTTTTTAGAATAAGTTTTTAAAGCGAAACTCACAGCATTTATTTAACAAAATTATGATATTCGGCCGTCAGTTTTTCATTAATTGTACCGTCTTTTGTATACTAATTAGGTGTGACTTTCAGTTGATTGGCGATTGCGCACTCGCAATATTCTAACACCGAAACTGATATTTTAGAGTGGAAATTAAAAATTTTATTGTTTAAAAAAATTGGCAAAGCATCTTTTCATTTGAGAATTAGAATTAGGTTTTAAAAAATTTTCTAAAAGGTGATGGTGTCCATTTATTGCAGACTTTTACATCTTGAGATCAGCTGCTTGATGGCTTAATGGCAAGATAACTGCCACTGAGAATCGAGAACAGCTCGGATTCAAAATCTGTCCGACGCAACATACCTTAATGGGTAGCAATGTCGTAGAATGGCAATAGCAAAAGATGGTGACTCATGGGTTGTTGTTCGATTCTGTATCCTCAGAGTTCCTTCAAAATGGCGGCGCTCTGTACCTTTATCGCCAAGTGACTTCTTGACGAAATTTGTCTCTTTCGACAAGACAACTTCACTATACACATCTTTAAGAAGATCCACATTCTATGAAGAGAGATGTCGATCTAGATATATGGCACGCCGATACAATCATACATAATGGCATACAACTTTGCTCTAGTACCATCCGCATTAATTATACTAGGAATTGACACGCTATGCATTAAGCCTTCATAGGCAAACCCGATAAAGACCTGGATAGATCAAGCGAGATTTTATATAGATGGAAATCAGCGATATATGAGCATGGCTGGTGAAAAAAAGAAATCATTTCAATTATTTCGATTTAGATGGCTTTGTATCGAAAGGCTTAAAAATAAGTGGAACCAACAAATCGATAATCGGTAATACTTATCAGTATATTAAAAAAAATGGAGCAATTGAATATTAGAAATCTAGAAAAATGATTACTAAAAATATCGGCGAAATCTTATCATTATCAGAAAAAAAATTATCATTAATCTTCAAAACAATTCTTTACGTCGATGAGGGAAGAGGGAAAAAGAAAAGTGGGGGAGGGGTATTTGCAATCCAGGTTAGCAACTAAAATATAGCTTTATTCACAAAATCCCGAAATTCTATCTGTCCCTTATACAAAAAACGTTCGTTAATGTTATTAAAGGATATTAATTACTTTAACGATGAACCGAGTTCACCACCCATTTATTTACCTAGGACAAACCCTCTTCTCATCACCCGGTTAAGTACCATTCCCTTAAAAATAATTAAAGTCATTTTAATACTCATTTGCAATTTAGATGATAAAGTGCCGAACTTTAAATCATTTCTATATATACTCTCGAAACGATTATATGATTACTGTATTTATTGGATTTATTTCATTTCTAATTTTATTTATCTTTGATTGAGGTGAATTTGCTGTATTTTTAAATTATTTTCATAGATTAGTTACATTAAAAAGAAATTTATTGAAAGAAATTTTAGAATTTTTATGTATTAGTCGATTTTAATTCGATTCAATTTCTTTTCTAAAAAGGAATTTAAATCGATAAACTTTCGTATTTGCACTTTATGCGGGGTTTTTTCTTTTCTCTTTTTTTTAGATTTCAACGACGCATAAAAAGTGAAATTCGATCTAAAATTTTTCGATTTTGTTTTTTTTATAATTGTTGCAGTTGAAATGAAAGAAAATTGATTCAGCTTAAACGCTTTTCGAAGGTGTCACAGCGTTTATTATTATCGGGGTTAATCTCAATCGATTGATTATTTTTTTTTGTGGGAAATATTTTTTTTTTTAGTGAAATTATTAAAATTATAAAAGAAAAAAATTATACGATATAATTATAATTAAAATTATAATTATAAATTTAAATAACTATGGCTCTGCGTAAAGTTCGGAGCAATATTGATCGTTTATTTGATAAAAATTTAACAGATTTAATTCGCGGTATACGAAATAATAAAGATAATGAGGTATGTTTATTTGTTTTATTCATTTTTATTCATTAAAATTTTTTAATATTTTTTTGTGTGAAAGAGAAAATTTTTCAAATTTTTCTTTTCATTTAGTTTTACAATATTTCTATGCAATATGAATTTTAATAAATTATCAAAAAAAAAATTTTTTATAAATGTCTAAATTTTTTAAGAAATTTTGCATTTTCTTGAACCAAGTAATTTTATTGATATTATTTAATTGAAATTAATTGAATTTTTAATATTCATAAATTATTAATTATTTTGTCCATTAGTGAGAAAAACTAAAAAATGAATCTTTCGAATATTTTCGATTGAAATTTTCGCAGTTTTTAAATTTGAAATTAATTTTTAGGCAAGATATATTGCAGCTTGTATTGAAGAAATAAAAGGTGAATTGAGGCAAGATTCAGTTTTTATTAAAACAAATGCCATCGAAAAATTGGCTTATGTAAGATTTCATTTTAGTTCTTTACAATAATTAACGAATATATTTAATTTCCGATTAATTAGTGTTAAATATAATGAATTGTTTATTTAAAATTTAATATGATTTTTATTTTGAAGAAAGTTTTTTAAAATCTTCGAAGAAAAAAAAATTTTTTCAGTTACAAATGATGGGTTATGAAATGTCTTGGGCTTCGTTTAATATAATTGAAGTAATGGCTTCAACTAAATTTACGGAAAAGCGCATTGGGTTCTCGCTTTTTTCATATTTACTTCATGTTTCCTGTATAATTCATAATTTTTTCAGTTTAAATTAATGTGACTTGCGAAAACATAATTATCATTTGAAATTTTATTTCTTTTTTTTTTTAGTTATATGGCGGCATCGCAATGTTTTTACGATGAAACTGATGTGTTGATGTTAACAACAAATCTAATACGAAAAGATCTTCATAGTGCTAATATGTATGAAACTGGAGTAGCATTGGGCTCTTTCTCTTGTTTTGTTACGTCGGATCTTGCAAGAGATCTCACTAATGACGTTGTTAATCTTGTAAGCGTTTAAAATTTTTTTCATTTTTCAGAGGTAATGAATGAAAAAAATTATTATAAGAATGCGGAATATTTCTCGATAATTTTATAAAATTTCAGCTTTCTTCAAGTCGTCCTTATATAAGGAAGCGGTGTGTATTAGTATTATATAAGATTTTTTTAAAATATCCCGAATCCTTACGGCCAACATTTCCTCGACTGAAAGAGAAGTTGGAAGACGCAGATCCAGGTTATGAAATTTTTGATTTGTATTTTTTCCCAATTTTGTTCCAATAAGAGAAATTTTTTATTCATGGTTTCATCAAATTAACAATTCTTTGAGTTCTTAAATTTATAAAGTTGTTGTTAATGAAAAATTTTGCCGAATTTCAGGAGTACAAAGTGCTGCTGTGAACGTAATTTGTGAGTTGGCTCGAAAAAATCCTAAAAATTATTTAACCTTGGCTCCAATTTTCTTTAGGCTAATGATAACTTCATCAAATAACTGGATGCTTATAAAAATAATTAAATTAGTCAGTATTTCTCATATTCTATAAAAGTTTCTCTTCCATATAGAAAGAAAACATTATATTAGTTTAGACATTATATTACATGTATTCTTAAGAAAATCATCTATTCTTTCCCTATAATTATATTTCAGGTCCTTGTATGCCTTGCTAATAATTTCCTTGGAATCTTTTATACTCCAAACTCTCCTATATCACCTTAATGCTGAATACTCGATGTTTCTGTGAACATTACCGTCTTATACTACTTTAATCATTTAAATTTCCTTGCAATCTAATTCTTCATAACTGTGCATTTCTAAAATTTTTTGAAAACATTTTTAATACTTTCAAATTTTTCTCCATATTCTCCAGGTAAAACCGGATAATAGCAGCTGTTCCATTTCAGTGTTGCTATTTTGTTTTATCCTGTTAACGTTGTCTAAATCTTGATCAACTCCGGTTTTTAGATTTTAAATCCATTCTTACATTTTTACATTTTTAATTCTCTTACATTTTTACATTTTTAATTTAAAATTGCTAATACTATATATCATTAATGGTTCAAGAAGTTTGGTGCACTGGTGCCATTAGAACCACGTTTAGGAAAGAAACTTCTTGAACCATTAACTATATATAGTATTAGCAATTCTATTCAGTAATATATAGTATTAGCAATTCTCGAGGTTTCATTTTGCTTCATTAACGACCTAGTATTTTTGTCCCAATCTCAATTTATAAAGTTAAAAGCATGACGGAAGTATGGGAAGAGTACGCTTATTGAAAAATATTAAGAGGGATAAAGTTTCGAAGGGATATTGAGAAAGAATAAAAAATTCAAACGATTCAGGGAAATATCAAGAAATACCAAAAGTTTGTCCATTTATAATGTATAATGCACTCGGATATTTTTATCATTCTTGTTATCCATCATTCTTAAAATTCGCTTGATTTTTATTGCTTATTATTTATTAATATTGCAGTTTGGTGCATTGGTGCCATTAGAACCACGTTTAGGGAAGAAACTTCTTGAACCATTAACAAATCTTATTAATAGGTTCATTTTTTGATTTCTTCGTTATATTCTGTTAAAAAAAATTTTTTTATATTGTTTAGAGTTTTTATAATTTTAATGAGCATTTTTGACAGAGTTTTCTTACCTTTTATTATTTTTAAATTTTCAGCACTTCTGCCATGTCACTTCTTTATGAGTGCATCAATACTCTTATTGCAGGTAAATTTTTGTTTAAACTTTTTGTCCTAGTTAATTTCATTTCTTAAATTCCATGAATTCCATTTAGCCCTCTCTAAATATGATTTTTTGATTTTTATTTCATCTGTGGTTTAATAATATGGTTTCAGTTCTGATTTGTGTGTCTTCTGGTGCTCCTGGTGATCACACTGCTAGCATTCAGGTAATTTTTTGCTTTTTATTATTTGCGTCCATTTTTATGGCCTGTTTTTATTTGATAAAAAGATTTTTCGTGAAATTGATTAAATTATCTTTGTTATGCTTTATTTATATTGCAGTTATGTGTGCAAAAGTTGGGTGTGCTAATTGAAGATTCCGATCAAAATTTAAAATATCTCGGTTTACTGGCTATGGGAAAAATTTTACAAACCCATCCGAAAGCAGTTCAAGCTCATAAAGACATCGTTTTACGATGTTTAGATGATAAAGATGAAAGTATCAGATTGCGGTGAGTTTTTTAAGGAAAGATTTACTTATATATTTACAATATTTTTATAAATACTTTTGAAAATGGTAATAATTTTCATATTTTTTGAAAAACATTGGCTTGCAAACATATTTTTTAAAATATGGGTTGATGATGACGATTTTGCACAATATCATATGATATCTGTTGACTGACGATCGATGCTGAAACCCATGTCTAAAATTTTCAAAAATATCTATTATCTGAAATATTTTACTAAAATGTTAAATGCGATCTACTAAAATGCGATAAATTGCTAAAAATTTGAAAAATTAGCATATTAGCACTTAATTAGAATTAATTTCAAAACTCTAGTTTACTCTCAGTTTTTTTCGAATTTCTTTTTTCTTACTTTTTGTTCCATTAGTTTTTATTTTATAATGCCATATACAAAAAAGTGAAAAGCACCACTGTTAGCCATACAATGAATAAATAAGACAATGAATAAAAAGAATTAAATTATAGCAGGTAGCATTATATTAGTTCTTCTTCTAACATTATATTAGTTCTTCCTCTCACCATTACTGGTTAGGCTGACTCCAACGGCTACAAGGGTAAGATGCTTCCAAGCGGCGCGGTCTGGTGCTATCGTCGACAGTAATGGAAGCCATTCCTTTTTCCATCGTCTAAGTCCATATATTGCTAGTCCACCTACACGTTCAAAATCTTTCTTGACCGTATCAGTCCAGGTCTTGATTGGTCCACCTCGCTTTTGATGCCAACCATCAAATGGTTTAGCAAATAACGAAATATGTGTCAACTCCTGTGGTGGACGACGGAGAATGTGCCCTAACCAGCGAAGGCGGCGCTCTGTATTATTATTTATGCATATTATATTATTTATGCATATTATATTATATTATAATAATATTATTTATGCAAGTGGTATTTGAACGAAGATGGATGCATTATATTAGTAAATATAAAGAAATGTTAAGAACTTTTAATTGAAGATTATAAAAAAATAAAAATTAAACAATTCTAGGAATAATTTTTCCCTAATTTCTTCACAAAATTAGATGTGATTAATTCTCTTCATTCCATCATAAGGTTTTGGCAAATTATGTGTAGTGCATATAGAATTTAGTAATTTCGCTATTATTTGCATATAGGATTTAATATTAATTCTTGGAGGAAAATTGAAGTTTTTGGGCATTGATATCCATTTATTTACTAAGGATAAACCAAGCAGGGAATAAACCATGCGTTCATGGAATTAATAGCTGGAAATGAGGTCAAATTTACACTTATTAATACTAACAGCAAGTCAGATTTTTTTTTTTTAAACTACTCGAATATATTATTAGAGTCATCCTGTAATCAGCATAGATGCTTTGAATTGGTTATTATTTAACCTTTGTAAATTGATTAACTAAACTTTTTTTCAATTTAGTGATTTCAAGGATGGCATAGTTAGGAAGGAAATTTTTTTTATTTTATAATTGCTTATAGCGTTTTCTTGCTTTTTTTAAATAATTAAATAGGCAAATATTAGCAGAATGAAAGTTTTACATAGTTATGTACAAATGTTGATTTCTTTTGAGAAATCTATATTTTATATCTTATGCTTTGAAAATGATTTAAACATTTTTTTTGTCTCTGTTCATTTTTCTTATATTTTTTTCAATGTTGATAGAAAAATTTTATAATTAAATATTTCAAATTGTAAAGAATGGAAGACTTAGTTTATCAGCTTTGCTTTTTTATGATCTAGTGAAATTTAAATTTAAATTCCTATATTACAGTGCTCTTGATCTTTTATACGGGATGGTTTCGAAACGAAATATTATGGAAATTGTACGAAAATTAATGGAACATGTAGATGCTGCGGAAGGATCGTTCTATCGTGATGAACTGCTTTCAAGGATCATTTCTATTTGTTCCTATAATAATTACCAATATATTACTAATTTTGAGTGGTTCGTTGGTATTATATTTCATTAATTATTTTTTAATATTACAGAATTGTTTCACAAAGTTAGATTCATGCTAGTTTGATTCATTTGTATTCATTGTTGATTTTTATAAATTTTTATGAATGATAGAATGTTTTAATATATTTTTTTATTGTTTTTTATTGTATTGATTTATGTATCATAGGACCAACTTTCCTTTTTTATTTTACCAAAATATGTTGTTATAGGTATATTTCTGTTTTGGTTGAACTAACTAAAGTTGAAGGAACGAAACACGGTTCATTAATCGCTGGGCAGGTTGTTTTTTCGCAATTGTTTGTTCCGAAAATTTTAAAAAATTTTGAAAATAAGCCATTTGAGAAATCGCATTTTTTTTTTTTTTCAGATGCAAGATGTTACTGTGAGAGTACAATCGATTCGACATTTTTCAGTTTCCCAAATGGCTTTACTTGTAGAAAATGCTAATTTACTTCTAATAGGAAGTGCACAGCATCGCAGTAACATATGTGAAGTCTTATTAGCCGCTGCTTGGATCTGTGGTGAATATTCCGAGTGAGCTTAAATTGATTTAATTTGTAGCTATTGATTTTTTTATTCTTTAATGTTGATAAACAATAAGATAATCGTTAATTTGAAATTATAAGTCACATTTTTTTATGATTTTAAAACCTTTCGTTTTATATTTAAAATCGCCAATAATATATTTATTATTACTAGGCATTTGAGAAACGTACAAGGAGTTCTTGAAGCAATGCTGAAGGTGAAAACTTTGGTGACACCAGGTCATATACTCAGTGTGTATGTTCATAATATAGCAAAACTATATGCCCTTTTGCTGTCAAGAGCAGAGGCTGAAGAAGATTGGGATGCTGTAGATTCATTAGACAATCTTATGCTATCAAAACTACCAGAATTTCAATTAGCCGATCATTTAGAAGCCCAAGAAAGAGTGTGTTTTTGCTTTTAATTTTATAAATTTTGAAGTATTAAGTTATCGGTTCATTTCATTTTTTTCGATTGAAAAATTTTTCAGTTTTATAGAGTGCTAGCTAGGCTAGTTATTTAAGGCTTGTACTTTGGTCGCAGCGATTCGAGTATTAGAAAGTTTTCATGCAAAACGAGAGAAAGTTGGGGAATATTTTGCTAAGCTTTTCGAAGGAGAGCTTAATCCAGTTGCTGTAAAAGCCCAGAGGAAAGTGCCAGTACCTGATGGGTAGGAGTCATTTTCTTATTTTCATTAGAAGCTTGCTTTTATATATTTACCTTAAGTTCAAGTGTTCTGTTTATTATATTTATTTTGTTTATTCTTCTTTTATATTTTTATTTTTATCATTTTATCATTTTTTTATCTTCAAGATTAAATTTGGATGTATGGTTACATGAACCTGAACTTAATGACAGCGAAGCAGAAGATGATTCTTACGGTCAAACAGTTGACGATAAAATAAACGATAAATACAGAGTTGAAGACAGTCAAAATAGGTTTCATTTTACGGATAAAGTCCTAGATAAGAAATATGGAAAAATGGGAAGCGAAGCAAATGAACTGACTGAAAAAGAAATCCAAGAGGTAATGGATGAGTCTTGCGCAAATCCAAAATGGCTTTTTAGTGGTCATGATCCATCATAATTTTTTCATTTGCAGCGACGCGCTCGACGCTTGGCTGAAATTGAAAACAATCCATATTATATGAAAGGTGATCTCAAACCGTCAACAACAATGCGTGCGACAAAATTCAATGTCCGTGAGTCATCCGAAAAGTTGGAGCCAGTATCAACTGAGGTTCAAAGTCCTCTTGAGATTCCTGGTTGGTACTCAATTAATTGGCCAAGATTTGTTTATACTTCATTTATTTTTATTAATCCATTGGTCATTTAGTTTTCTATTTTTTATTTGGCTGCCTCAATGATTTGTTGAGATGTGTGGCATCTTCCATTCTATTGTTTATTCAAGTCCTATTTTTACTGAAGGAGAAGAAAGGATTAGACTTCACAATCAGAAATAAAATAAAAATTTAAAAGAATATAAAGGTTTTTAGAAACATTTATTTATTTAAAGTTTTGTTCCTCGCGAAAAATTATTTAAAAGAATAGAAAACAAAAGATGAACTAATCTTTATTTATTTCTAAAATAGCTATTTCTAAAATTTAAAATTTCTAAAAATTTCTAAAATTTCTAAAATTTCACAAACGGTGTAGTGTTAAAGACTTTTAAGCTGATAAGATGCCACTGAAATCGGCTTCGAAAATATCTTCACTCGAAACAAACCGAGCGTTTCGAAATGCTCATTACCATTTATTATTGGAGCCCAGTGAATAATTAAATAAATAGCTAAAACTTAGTAAATATTCATTGAAAACAAAAAATTGACTTATTAAATATTTATTAGAAACAAAAAATTTATATAATTCAAAACAAAAAGTTAAATTGAATTATAAAGTGGGGAGAAATTGCATAAATTTCGCAAATTGCTTTCTGAGTTTCGAAAAAGATTCCGTATTAAATATTCTAAAATTTAATTTTGAAATTCAAAATTTAATATTGTTTTGGGCGAAGAATTTTAATAATGTTACGGCTATGGCTTCCTTTGAGAACAACTTAATTTTAATCTTTAAACGGTCATTTCCAGGTGTGCTTGGTCTCAATCGATATATAGAACAACAACAATCGACACTTTCATGGAAAGCCGCTAAAAAAGAAAAAAAAAAGCGGAAAGAAAAAAAAATGAAAGATTTTAAAACAATAAGTAGTTCAAGTGAAGAAAATATTACAACTGTCCATCAAGTGAATAGAGCGGACGGCGAAATGCCTGAAAATGCAAAATCTACTGATGATGATGAAGAAATTGAAAATTTGCGCGATGCGGATGATGATGCTTATAAAGCACTCGATATGGATTTGGAGGAAAATTTGAAGGAAAGTCCACCAACTGTTCAAACTCGGCCAAATATGCTTAATATGCGGCAATCTTCCAATTTTTCTAAAAATGATCCAGCAGCTTGTTCAAGCTGTAATGGAACTGCCTTTGATGAACAAAGAATTTCTAAAATTATTAAGAAAAGAAAAGAGAAACACAATAAAGATGATGGAAAATATCGTAAGAAAACGAAAGGAAAGAGAGAAGCATCGCAAAAAAGTACAAAAAACCAATTTTCACCGGTTAGAAGTTCACAATCATGGGTAGATTCTTCTAAAATTGCTTCGAGTATAGAAAAGGATCATTCTTCTGATCATCGGCGTATCTCGAAATCCAGAAGATTAGAAACAAGGATGAAAGAATCGAAAAATATTCAAGAATTAACAGAAATTGTAGAACCAATTGATAAAGAAATTTATGAAATCACTTCAGGAGTATGTACTCCAAGTAATCCAAATTTCGGTTCTTTTTCAAATGGTGCCATATCTTCTGGCGATGTAACTCCTCAACGAAGTGTTGACAATAGTTGGTCGAAGTTAAGGCTAAATTTATCTTCATATAAATTACTTGGAGAAAGCAAAGACTTGAAAATGATGTATGAAACGCAAGTTTCGACCGAAGATGCCAATCAGGTGGCTGTTTGTGTGGTATTTACAAATGTAAATGGAAATACGATTCGTCAACTCGAAATAAACATTTTAGATACTTTGAACACACGTTTAATTACTGAAGAACGACAATCTCCTACTGTATTTTTTTAAGCTATTTTTTTGTTTTTTGTAAAATTCAATATTTTGACTATCAAATTTCGATAATCTGTTTAAATATTCAATTTAATATATATATTTGTATTTTTCTATATTTTTCTATTTTTTATTACATATGTAAATATATTTATTTTCATATTTCTTTAAGGCTAGTATGCTTTTGCCATTCCAATTGCCTCCGGAAATTTCCACCGAGCACATTTTTCGTTTTTCTGTCGGCGCCATTAATGTCGCACAAAGATTGCGGGGAACAATCACTTTTTTTGTTGAGGTTAAATGTTTTGCTTAAATGAGAAATTTCATTTCATAATTTATTTAAGTTAAATAAGCACAATAGAAAGTCTCAGACTAGTAAAGGTTTTGTTAACTTCTCCAAAATATTTTCTTCTTTTTAAGGGTAATGGCCAAGTTTATGAAGATAAAATTGATTTCTACATCAGATTGCCGACAATAACGTTTATATTGCCTGCAACAATTGGCAGGTAAAATTAAACAAATGTAGCCAATAAAATGAAATTGGGTATATTTATCGTCAACTGCTAATGCATCTTTTTTTGGTTATTATAATTTATGAATTTTTTCTAGTGATGCCTTTGAACTTTTGCTGGCTTCCGGTGATGTTGATTTTAAATCGTCTGCGCAATTTTCTTCCTCGAATATGTGGAGCGATATCATTAGGAAAATAACTTTCTTCGGCCATTTTACAGGTTTGCTTTTGTGATTGAACTTTTGTTTAATACCGTAACACCGTAATCTATAAGTTTTTTGGCTTTGATAAAAGTTTTCAAAGTTGTTTTTTATTAAAAACTGATTTTGGAAAAAAATTTTGCTCTTCCCGACTTCATGGTTGATTATTTCAGTAGTTGATGATCATAATAATTATGCATCGCTCTACGCTCATACAATCAAAGCAGATCCTATTTGCATTCTTGTCAAACGACAGGTTAAAGATTTTTCCTTATATCATCAATAGTTATATAGTTGTAGATTTTGTACTTTTTCTTGCGAAGGCTTTAAAAATTTATTCTTTTCTCATCCTTTTTCTTTGCTTTTCAATTGTAGTTTTCCTTTTCAAAAATTGTAGTTTAATTATTATTCTTTATTGTAGTGCAAATTTGCATCAAATTTCAGCATAATTTTGATCATTTAAAAATTTAAAAATTTTTCATTTATATTAAAATTTATATTAAAATCTCAGACAGCAGAGGGTAGTGGTTTTTTCTTTTTTTTCAGAAGGATAAAATCCAAATCGATGGCCGATGTGGTGATCAGCAACTGATTTATTCGGTTGTGGATGAACTTCGTGAAATCGCTTCCTTATGAATTTTCTTTCTTCTGTGATTTGTGATTTTTTGTATTTTGGATTTGGAAAATTTGAATAATTTTCGCTATGCATTGGCACTTGGAAAGCCATGCAAAATTTTTAATTTTTTTTCACACAGTTTCTTATTGCTTATTGTTGTAGTCTTATTTCATTCACTGTGAAATTCATCTTTCATCTTTTTATCTATCCCTAACAATTGTCGTACGGACTAGCAGTATGTTCGTTCAAATAAGGTGAAGACAACATTAGTTCGATTCTTTCGATTGCTTAGAGAGAATGAGGATAGGAAGTTATTAAGAAATGAATCCTGATGGCATTTCTTTTCTTTCCTTAATTCTCTGATTTATTCTCTAATGAAGAACTCTCATCCTAACAATCAAGCCAGCCAGACAGAGCAATAAGATAATAAAATTGCGTTAATTATTTGAAAGCATTTTAATGCATTTTTCATCGTTTCAATTTTTTTTTAAAGTGTTGTATTAATTCTTCTGAAATTGTTGTTTAATGAACTTAATATTTTATTTATGGTCTTTTCATTTTTCTATTTTTCATTGATGTTCTTAATTTTTTACTCAACTCAGTAACGAAATTTGTAAAACATTTATCTAATTTGGCTAAATCGACTGTCATTTACTTAGCATTTATATTGGGCCGGGCCGGTGATTCACTTTTTAGTTTCATCATCAATCTTGGCTCAAGTTTTTTTTTTTTTTTTTTTTTTAGCAAATGAGTACAATTTTTAAGAGTGTAGGCTTAATTTAATAAATTTTTTTTATTTCTAAAAATAATTTATTTTTTTCATAAATTATAAATTTAATGATTTATTTTTGATATAATTATTGAAAGAATAAACAAGGAACGATATGGAACGATTTGATTTGATTGAAATTTTTGAAATATTTTATAATGATCAAAAATCTGCTAAAGTACCATCTGAGTACTTATTTAATATTGCAGTTGGCGCAATTCGTGTAATTTTCTCAGATTTTTATGATTCAACCAAAAATAGAATTGATAGGAAATTTAGAAATGGTATTATATATTGCAGTTATATATAGCTAGTAAGATTCCACTTCTTCTTTATGCTTGCTTAGACAAAACAGACCATGAGTTAGTAGTTAGAGAAATCAGCCGGGATCCATAAATTTCAAGAAGATTCGCTTGCTTACCGGGTTCATTCATTCACTTTTTTGATATAGCACCGCTTTTCTGATTGCTTATCACATTTGCCGTATGGACGGACTGAAACATATCGATGCCGTTCTTCATTTTTCGTATATTTCTCCATAAGTCCAGATATTCGAATACTTATAAAGATAAAGCTTTCTTATATCACCAAAGATTTATAGTACCATTTTCATTGCTAAAATATTTATAAACTAAATTTAATCAAGTAATCAATTATTTCAAATATAGCGATATTCGAAAGCCAAGAACAAATATCGTCGTCATGAAATTAGGTCGTGAAATTCATATTTACTTTCTTCGTCGTCTATTCAACTGCTAAAGATATTTAACTTACAAATTACCTTAACTCCAAAACTTTTTCAAAAGCAAATGGATTAAATAAAAGAAAGAAAGAATTGTAATTCAAATTTTTTATTTACATAATTTGAAGAGAAAGAATATATTTTGCAAATTTCCTTAAATCTAATAAAAAATATAAAATTTTTTAAATTTCCGTACCAACAGAAAACGTATTACCAAAAGAAATTAGAATCAAAGATGAAAAGTGGTTAAAAAAATGAAAAAATAACAATATTTATCACAAATCTACATGATTCCATTACATAATATTAAAAGTCATTCCACAAAACATTAAATCATTATCACGTATAGTCGGGTGGATCAAACCTCGGTAGAAGCTGATACTGGGAAAGAAGTTGAACTGGAGGTCTTCTAAATTCAAGAACCATAATAAAATTTATCATAATTTAAAAACTTTGGTGGGAATCGTGCAATTTTCTAGAATAAGTTCTATAAATTACCCATATGGAACTGGATTTCGTTGTGGTTGATTGTTTGGTCGAGTTGCAGCAGCTAGATTCATAGGTGGAAAAATTGAAGCATTCGGAATTGGAATTCTTGAATCATACATTACCTGCTGCGGCTTAACACCAACCACATTCTGTTGCAAAGGCATTGCTTGTCGGTGCGCAATTGGTTGAAAAACACCAATATGTGGAGGAACCGCAAAGGGTACATCGAAAAAAATAAATAATTCAATTATTCATGTCTAAATATCTCTAGAAAAAATCATTAATTAATTATTAAAGAACTATTATTACTAGAATTATTAAAATATTAAACAAAATAAACAACTAACTAACTAGGAATAACAGGACGAAAATGTGATGGAACAGACATCCCAGCGATTGAAAGCCGTGGTCTGGGTATAGGAGGTGGATTCCGTGGATATACAGAAATATTTGTTTGTGAATCAGATGGACAATTATTGTCATCTGGATCTGGATTCTCATCAGGATTATATTTATCACCAAATATCCTTTCTCTTGCTTCCAAATAAGCTGCCTGCCGTTCCTAAATTTCCAAACATATAAGATATAAAGAGTACCAAAGTTCGAAAATCGGAATTTAAAAAATGATTATGAATATAAAGCGATTATAATTACAATTAAATAAATTAAATAAATTATAATTACAAAATTACAAAAAATTTTTTAAAAATTACAAAAAAAGGCTCACTTCAAGCGATTTCTGAAGGAGCTGCTCTGACTGCTGGCAATCAGATTGCGATGAAGAATGTAATTTATCACAGCTCTGTGGTCGTTTTAGAATTTTTATGTTAGTGATTTTATCTACTAGCGGTCTATAAATGTATTAAATATATTAATATAAAATAATGTGGCAATAAAACCTGACCTGATAAATTATCACAAGATTCACCAAATTTCAAAGTCAAATTCCACTTTCCATTGTTCTTTTTTTCCCTACAGATGAGACAGGTAGACAGGAACAGAATCCATGCTAATTTTCAAAGAACCTCCAACCAAAATAAGACAAAACTCAACTAAGTGATCTTAGCATTTTAATAAATATGGTTGATGAAATGAAAGGAGAGAATATCAAAAAGGGCCAGTAGAAGAAATCCTTGGAGACATTTATATAAACCACGGTAAGCCATCTGCCCTGAATACAGCTGAAACACTTGCCGAGTTATGTTTGTTATAATCTGCCAAAAGAGCAACTAATTATTATTAGCTCATGATGAGATGCTCTTCGGATTGAACTCTTCAAATGTTGTCCGAAATCCTTCATAGTTCACCTTCAACCGAAATGCTATGGAATACTAGATGATTGGAGCAAAGGAATCTTGCTTAACTATTGAGGAATTAACCAATTAGATGCTAGACTTATAGATGTTTTTGACCAAATAGGATGTTGAAACATCGCTAAGAATATCGGCAACAACCTGTTCTATTCATTTTGCATTGAATTCAATTAATAAAGCGATTTTCTGCAAAACTGATCGAATACTCCATATGCTCCAGAGATAATTCGACATATAAAGGTATTTTTCAAGCGCACAGGGATATAAAGATCTGCATTTGGGAGGTGGAATGGCTCAGTGGGTTATTGCTAAATTCGGATTGCCGAGGCTGAGATTCGCCGGATAATGCTGGCGATTCACGTGTATTTCTATCATCAAGGGACTGGCATACTTGTCCAATGCAACAAGCCAGCGGAGCCAGTTTTACCAGTAATGGTGAGGACTCTTAAAAAAACAGATCTGCATGTATGGGAAACGGACATGTCCTTTCGAAATAAGAATTAATATGACCTTAATATTTCGCTCTAAAACATTTATGCAATAAATGGATTATAGAGAACATATAAGTATGCCAATGACATACAAGTCACTGTATAGTGTCACAAATTTTGAATGTACTATTGAATGATAATGTAGTCTTTTTTTGCTAACAGTTATGAAATCATTGTATAAATTTTATCAATATCTCAATCAAATCGTCATAAATTGAAATGCAAGGACTTTAAATACTTTGGATCTACTCTTAAAATGGCCAGGAAAAAGACAATTGTAGTAGTCTTGATAATTTTCTGGCAAAGCGTCTATGAAATCGCTGCGAAATCACCATTAAGGCGAAAATTCACATTTGTCTTATCACATTTTGTAATTACATATCCTATTGGCCAATGACAGATATTAAAAAGCTATCTTTATTTGCTTTTGAACAAACAAAAAAGTGAACATATCTAAGGCACATTTCATGTTCCTTGAACAATTTTATCCTTCGAAAAGATAAAATGATTGAATCAATTTTCGCTCGAATAGCACCTTTTCGTTACGAAATTTCGCCTAAGGTCATGTTTTTCGCTGTCCATCGCAAAAACTACCTCGTTATTTGCTAAATCCCATAATGAATTGCATTAATTAAGTTATCAAAAATGAGCAGAACGGTCAAGGCCTGGACTGAAACAATCAGAAACATACATATAAGCAGCCGAGTGAAATAAAAGCTTAGAAGAGGGAAAAAGGAATAGCTTCTGTTACACTAAGCATTTGATCTCGGAAACATCCTTGCGACAAAAGGAATTAACTTAACCAGTAATGGCGCTATTAGAAGGATAAGGATTTGAATATAGATATCTTATCTATTATCAAAAGATTTAAAAATATTGAAGCATGAGATGAATTCTTTAAAAAAAAAATTTACAGTAAAGATTGTTGCTGCTCTAAATTAAATTGCTCCAGTGTAATTTCCTCCTCCCTGATTCTCGCCATTTCTTCCTCTTTTTGTTTCCTCTTTAAAATTACTTTTTCACGTTGCTCCAATTGTGCAGAGACCTTAAAATGAAATATCATCAAATAAAAAGTTAAATATTAAAAAAAATTAAGAAATTGGATAAGAAAAATAGCAAATGGCAAAAATGCAAAAAGCAAATAAATATTTTTTTATTATCAAATATTTATTTAACAAATAAATTTTTACATTAATATTTAAACATTTAAATAAATTTTTATACTAAATATAATTTTAATATAATTTTAATATAAATATAATTTTAAATATTTTTCTTCTTTATTTATATTAAATTAAATATTAAATTCATATATTTATGTATTTATATTTATATTAAATTTGTATTAAATATTAATTTGGCAAATATAAGATAAACACGAATACTTTTACCAAAAAAACCGCCCTAAAACTATTAAAAAAGTGAAAACGATGAAAAGAAATGAAATTAATTCGTGAAAACTGATAAGAAACAGCGTTATCATTTAAAGTAGCCTTGTTGCTCTCATTGAAATTTAGCAAATGCTGAAAACCCCTAAAGGATACTCTGGAAAACTGGCAAAAAATTTTCAATCTTAATAACAATCTTTCACCAATCAACAGGAGTTTAACCAGAAATAGAAATATTAACTACTAACTATTTAATAATCCAACTATTTAAAGAATCTTTATGATTAAGAAATGAATTTAATGGTTGAAAAACCAGGATTGCATATAGACATGCAATCTTATACACAGTATAAATATATGCGCATCACAGAAAAAATTACCTCGTCACCGGCCTCTTCCCAGTTTTCTACTACATTTTCATATGACGTACCCTCACGTTGACTATCGTTCATCGCCTAGTTGAATAACGAACTCCCCGATAATCGTTTTCTTCCCCAGTTTTACCTAAAATTAAAATAAAATAATATAAAACGCAAAATGCAAATCATATTTTTACATACATTTCTGCACATTTTTTTACGCATTTTCATAATTCGAAAAGCTTATAACGGATATCAAAAAAAAATGTACATGAATCAACTATTTGACCAAAATCAACTAAATCGGCCAAATTAAATTCGGCAAAAAAATTATAAAAAAAAATAAAAACAAAAATAGGGTTATATCAATTTCAAAAAATTTAATAAAATATAAATAAAAATGTTTCAATTTGATTCAAAACAAATATAAAATATCAAATTAAAAAATATTTCCTATTTTTTATAAATATATTCTAAAGCAAGAAAATGGGCATGTAAAATAATAATAATATAATAATATAATGCAGTTATTACAATATAATACAATATTTAAAAAAAAGGACTGAAATTAAGTACCATTAGAGTGAGAATTAATCTGATAAAAAATTTACGTATACGTATTAAAAATTATTAAATTATGGGCATAAAATAACAAAATAGATATTAGTATCGAAATAGATATGTAATAATACATGTAAATATGCAAATAAAAAAAAGAACAAATGGCAATAAATGAAAAACCGGTCAAATGTTTGAATTTAACTGATCCGACTGAATTCAATATTTCAATAAGGACAGCTAAGGATACAATGAGGACATGCAGAAGTGTGAATTAACCCAATATCCAATATCTCGATTTCTGTGGTGCATTCAACCGAGAAAAATTCAAATTTTGCATGTGAAACTTTTGCATTTTAATATTATAGAGCAAAATTCTCGAGCGCATTTATTAGAAAACTAAAAAATAAGATAATATAAAATTTTAGCAAATTTTGAAGAAAATAACATGCAAAAATTCTCATTTACTTGTGCCTGGTTAATTGGATTAAGAATATGTTAAGATGTTAAGATATATATATATTAAAAAAAGATGATGTGACCCCTATATTTTAGATTTGTGACCTCACAGTAGCTTTTAATGAGAATGGCTTGAGTCCGAGAACCTACGTTTCATCCAGCATCCAGTGTTGCCAAAACAGCGAAAACAAAAACTATTTCGCGGTCATAAATCCAAAACACGATTTTATTACTATGGATAAATTAATTAAAAAGCAATGGATTGAAGATCTCGAGAAGAATGAATTTTTTATCTGAAAAATACTATTAAGGATATAAAAAATTTTTTAAAAATTGTCTAATTATGGACAATTATTTCATATAAACGTATAATTATTATATAATAATTATTAATATGATTATTATATAATATTAATAATTAAAATAAATATAAATGTAAGTGAATGAAATTGAAATTAAATAAAATATAAGTAAATTGAATTGAATTAAAAAATAAATAAAATAAAATAAATTAAATAAAAATAAAAATTAAAATAAAATAAATTTTGAGTTGTTCAAGAAAGAAAAATAAAATTAAATAATTGAAAAATAAAAAATATACAAATATAAATAAATTGGGCGTAAATATATAAATATATGTATAATATATAATATTTTAAAATAAAGTTCTCTTGTTTATAAATTTAATTTTTCTGCAATTTTAAAATTAGGTTTTGCAATAAATGAAACGGCCTTCTTCGCCTTCAACAATCATCATCATCTGACGGCGTGCAGACGAGGATTTGGCTAACTCAACTAAACATGCAATAGTCTTTAGCGAAGTGTCCTTCCTCTTGGCCAACACAATTTTCCTCAAAAACTCTATCTATCTGTATCGCCATTATCGTTCCAATAATAAATATTTTGCAATATTTTCATTATCGTTTATTGTTTATTTCAAAAAGAAAAAAATGTATGATTGTTAGTAATGGCGTTAAATATTTAGAATAAATAAAATATAAAATTAAAATTTAATTAATTAATTAATTAAAAACTAAAAATTTGCACGAAGAATTTTTGAAAAAAGTGCAACAAAATGCATGCATGCAATAAAAATAATAATTGCACAATTTACATGACCTTTAGTGCATTTTTAAAATTCTTCTTGATATGAATGAATATGTTAGAATATGTTAGAAGAAGAAGAACGATGGAAATGGCGTGCAGTGCAATTTTAAACAAGCTTAAGCAAGTACTCAATTCCCTTTAGAGAAAAAAAAATAATTTAATCCATATGTGAAAATTTTTGAAAGTGAGAAGAAAAGGAAGAGGAAGAGCAGGAAAGGGAGAAAGAGGAACAGAAGGAAGAGGAAGACGAGAGGAAGGAAGAGGAATCTTCTCAGGAAGCACCAAAACACTAAAATTAAAAAATAACAAAATAACAAGAAAAAAAATTATTCCGGAAGAAAAGGTTCGTTAACCAAAATTTTTAATGATGAAACAACTAAATGCGGCCGCAGACCTCTGAAAAAAGTTTGTGGCCCGGCATTGGGCCACATTTTTCTATTTCGATCGATAATTTATAAAAGATTCTTTTCATTACGGTAGTTTATAATTTATAATTGTTGATGTGTTTGTTGATCGAAAGTTTTTTTCAAGGTCTTTTCCGGTCATTTGGTCTATAGTCACCTTTAATTATTGGTGAGGAGCTAGTGATATCACTGAGGGTACCACAGAAATTCCTTGCAAGCCACATGTTTCAGATAAAAATTATCAGCTTGTTTGGATTCTTGGAGAAAATTTATCATTAAATTTATCATTTATCAAAATTTATCAAAGTTGCTGTTGGGAGAGAGAGCCGAAAGAAGGGAGGAAGGGGTTCGGCATTCACCGCTAATTTATTTCTCTTTTCAGTGGGTATTGCAAATTTTCATTAAATCTAGTTATTGATTTAAAGAAAATTAAGCCAAGAAATAGCCATTCAGTTTAGCCAGTAAATTACTGCAGTGATGGAAAAAAAATATAACAATAACACTAAAATGAATTAAAAATTAATGAATTGAGGAAGAATAAACAGTGTTATGAAAAATATGAGAAGACTGGCCGCTTCTCGAGAGCACTAATTCCGGAATTCAATTTCTGGTAGGAGAGTTCGTCATTTGAAAATCCAAGTGGTGCTGGTGATTCCACTGTGCTTCTATTGACGAAGGATTGGCTCTTTGGCCAAGTTTGTCTATGGACCGACAAGCTAGCAGAGTCAGTCTAACCAAAGAAAACGCTCTTAATGCAATATTATGGATAATTCTATTGTTATGCAGTGGATTTATTAGGAAAAGAATTTTTTTTATAATAATATTTAAATGAATAAAAAATAAAAGTTTTATTACACTACCATCATCAAATCATAATAAATAGATAAACAACAAAAATGCCTCCGATTTTATCATCTTATCTTATCTTATCATATCTCTTCTATTGTAATTTGGTAGTTTTATGTTTCATAGACATCTTCTTGTGGCTTTCGCTAAATTTTATGCTAATCGATCTTAGAATTGATAGAATTCGAAATAATATGCTGATTGTGGATAATTTTATTCGTTTCGATTTACAAAAATTTTCATATTTTTAGTAATTTCAACAAAAAAATGATTTATATGCCTTCAGAGATTAGATTCATTACTAATTTGCTAGAGGCATTTTATCTTTTCACTTTGCTGTAACCACTTATTCAATTTATTTCTCGATGAAAAATGTTCATTATTCATTGCAATACGAAGAAAATCTAATGTTATGTGAGCGGTTAACGATCACCAATTTCGGTCTGCCACAGGGGTCTTTAACCTTTTCCTTGCACCAATTCCCTATAGATCGATACTCTAAAAATTTTTAAATTTTTTTAATTTATAATTTTTTATAAAAATAATTAAATTTGTATTTTTTGAAATGTTAAAAAATTATCGAATTTTTTTTTCAATCAAAGTTTTAATTATTTAAAATAATTAAAATAATAAATTTTAAATAATTAAAATTTAAAAGAAATAGAGTCAGATTTGTTTATTTATTGGTTCCTCCTTTCAAAATTTTTATCGCTTGAAGAATAAAGCGTAGAAAGGATCATCTCCAGCACCTGGATTTAGGCAGGTTTACTGCCAAGAGTGGAACTTTAATATCGGCTTTCCGAAATGATGAAGCGATGACAACTTAATAAAAATCATTTTTCTCCCCCTCCTAGTTTGAAAAATTAAAAAAGACCCTTTAAAAGTATCTAAAAAGTAAGTAAGTTGAAATCAAAATATTTCTGATTAAAGGTTAGTAAATAATTTACGTTGAAAATTTATAGTTTTTTATTATCAGAATCGTAGCATTCAAACTTTTAAAACATTAGATTTTGAATTATGTTTGAAAACCTTTTTAGATTAACTGTAAATAAACTGACAAATAAGTAAGTAATTATATTTTTGATTGGTACCCATTGAGATTTTTGTTGATAAGTTTACTCTCATCGGAGGCAATTCGAGCCTCGATACCCGCAATGATAATCCAACCGACCATTCGGCTATATTACCTCATTTACAGTTGTAGTCAACTAATATTTTAAAATTAGCCTTTCACTGCTATTCTATTCATTGGTTAAAATTTTTGGATTGGAAAGAATTTTAGATTTCACGGAACTATTAAAAATATGTAAAAATAATACAAAACGAGGAAGATAATTTTTTTCATGATATTTATTTTCTACCATTTATTATATTGCAATTATGTTTTTTAATAATGTTTTAATAATATTTAATATTTCTATTAAAATTTTTTATTTTTTACTTTTATTGTATTTGAATTATACTTTATATATATATATATATATTTTTGCATTATTATATTTTATTTTTGATTATATTATTGTGCTGAAATACAATATATGTTTAATATATATCTATTATATTGTATTAAATTCATAAACAATAATTCATGATACTAGTAATAATTAATATTTAATTAGATTTTCAATTAAAATTAAAATTAAAATAAAATTAAAATGTTATAAAAATCACAATCAACCATTTTATCAGCTTTTATCACTTTAACTTTTTTTTCTAATAGCTTAGATATATTGCTTTTGGTCCCACAAATTCGAATATCCTTTCACTAAAATCTAAAAAATTTATTGATTTATTCACTAATATAAATTTAAAAAATATTAAATAATTATATTTTAAATAATAATATATAATATATTTATTGTTTTAATTGATAATATATAATCTCAAATAAAATTAAATGAAAAAATTTTCTTTAACAAATCAGGTTTTTTGTTTTTTTTCGATTTTCAAACGTTAAATTAAATCAATTAAAAATTAAAAATTATAAAAAAAAAGAGAATTATGTTCGTATGAAAATTTTCTCGTCGACAACGATACCACACCACATTTTTTTGAAATAATTTTTATTTGAGAAAATAGAACTAAAAACGAATTACATGCGTGATGAAATGAATAAGAATAGGAATGGAAATTGCGCGTGAACGTGTTGAGTTTTGATTTTTATTCAAAAGAGTGATCGTCGCGTCGTTGATTTTCGCTTATCATTTTATCATCTAATCATCTAAAATATCTGACCTTCTATCATCTTTTAGTCATTAAACGATTAAAAGTATTATTTTACAAAACGTCCTTGTGTCTTCTTGATTATTGATTTAAGAATTACTATTGTATAGAAGAGGTGTTGCGCGAGAAAGTTCAATCATCTACCTATATATATATATATATACATATATTAATTTTGTGAATTCAAAAACTAATCGAATTATTTATTCTTAATTTTTATTATTATCAGAAAAAGGAAAAAACGCCACCACACATATCGCCTTATCAATCCTTATCAATTTATCATATTTACTATTAGTTTCTCTTTTTCTCTCTCTGTTTTAATTCTTTTTTTTTTACTTTTTAACATTCGTTATTTTTATTGATAACAAATATGTTTATTTAACACTTCTTTCGTATTTCTAAATTTTACAGAAATTGTCGTTGGTTAAAATAAGTGAAAAAGCATACAGGAATACGAATACTAAACATACACCTGCATCCATACCTTGCGAATTTCAGGTCATATTTAAACGAAGATAGTTATGACTAGAGATTCGTTGGGTGTGGAACTGGTTGCAATTGTTGTCCACAATCTTTTCCTAAATTTTCTATTTTTTTTGGCATTTTTACATTCACGATAAATTATTTGATGAAATAAAATCAAATTTCTTAATGCTGAGAACGATGATAAGGCTAATGGACTCAAAAAAAAGGATAAAAGAAGGAGAACAAAAGAAAGAATGAATTCCAAACTGATTACTTATCAGTTATCAGTGAAAATTTATCCATTTTGCAATATCTATTATATATCTATATTTCTTCTTCATTATCATCACGCTTTAATACTGCTTCGACTTGATTCTATCAGCTAATTGGGTAAGATTTTTTTGCTATACTTCTTGATAATAATCACCGCTCGCTTCTCATCACTCCTCCTCCCCCTCTTATTCCTCTCCCCTCTCCCCAAATACGATTTTAATTTTAATAGTAAATTTATTTATACAAAAAAAATGGAACCATCCTATTTGCTACCTATCAAATTCAATCACCATGTTTTACGATAAATATATTTTTTATATTATAAAATAGCATATAAATTCTTATGATATTTGCCAGTATAATTTCTATATTTCCCAAATGTATTATAAAAATAAAAATTCAATATTTTTACAGAATTTTTATATTTATTTTTATTTTATGTTAAAATTATTATAAAAGTCAATCCATTTAGTACACTTATGAGAAATGATCATCGCTCAACGATTACAATTTAATTTTTGCGATAAGTAAAATAAATTATTTTGGTAGATTTGGAAAAAAAAATTTATTAGATTTTAAAGAGAATTTATTTCATTTATTATTTAATAATAATAAATAATATTTATTTATATTCTTATTTAATAATAAAAAATAAAATTCACTTAATCGATGTAATTTTTTTTCCACTGAAAATGAACCTTAAAATATGACTCATTTATGATTTCTTGCTTATTAATTTTGCTATTCTCAATTTTTCTCAAAATAATATTTTAAACCAAAAAAATCAAATAATTTAAATAAATAAATAAATAAAATAAATAAATAATTTAATAATTCAAATAATTTTTATTTTCATGAAACACTCGAAATTTCTCGTAAAATTGTTTGATGTTTTTAATAAAATTTCTAAAATTTTGGAAATTTTGAAATTATTTATTTAAAAATACATATATATGAAAAAAAAAACATTTATGATTTATAAGATTAAAAAACAATAATAAGTGAAGAATATTAGAAAAAATAATGGTTGTTCGAAGAAAATAATTATCACCGCTCACCATTCATTTTCATCTTCTTCGAACTCGAGTTCTTAGCTCGAAGTTTGTCACTCCCTTCCTTCCGCCCACCACTAAAATACATTTTCAAGCTAAAGCCAATTTCCATCGATGTATTTCTTAAGCTACGATTTATGTTTATTATGAAGAATATAGGAAAAGATTGGGCATTTCGATAATCTTCATATATGATATGATAACAATATCTGATATCATATCAGAATCATATGATAAACATCATTGTACCATCATTTCTATTTTTAATTTTTTTTTAAACTTCTATTTTAGATTATTTTTTAGACTATTTTAGTTTTAAAATTTTTTCCCCCAATTCATTTTAAATTTTAGAAGATGATGAAAAGAAAATGAAAAGTAAAAAATAATGAAAATGAAAAATTTTCATGAAAAATTAATCGAAATCATCTTTTTCCATAAATAATCCTTTTTCTTGTAAAAATTTCGTCATAATCTGAAATATTATATAAATATATATATATTATAAAATATAAAATATTAAAAAAATTTCAATAAAAATATCAATAAAAAATAAAAAATTTAGTATATTTTTTGAGAAATTCCAGGATTACCTTTTCATCGACAAGCATCGAGATATATTCATTACCATCTTGCTGACGTTTCTTGCTGATCAGTTGATGATCGACGAATTCAACGAGCTGCTGACGAAGTGCTGTATCGGTGGAAACAAGGAAATCATCTCTGAAAAAAAAAGAACCAATAATTCAAAAAACTAATATTATTTAAAATATCGAATAAATCAGCAAAAATATAATATAATATAATTAATAAATGTGCTTTTTTGTCGGAATATTTAATTATATATTATTTATCTCCACTTTTCTCTAAAGTTCAAAAGAAAATGAATCCATGAAAAGAATTTTGTTTATTTAAATTGCTTTATTATCATTTAAAACAATTTAAAATAGTATCCATAATGATAATTATGGAAAAGCTGTTAAATATATTTATATATTATAAATAATTATTAATAAATTAAGCAATATTTTATTTTATCAATATTTTAATTAATATTTTTTAAAATATTCTATAATAAAAACAAAAAAAATAAAAATAATAAGTTTTTTTCCTTAGAACTTTTCGATATTTTTTATATTTTATATTTTACAAATTATTAGAAGTTTTGCTATTAGTATTTCTAAATTTTATAATTTCTTATATTCAAATTATTCAATGCTCAATGTTTAATTTTATTTTTTTGAATTTTATTTCCCTTTTCTTTTTTTTAATAAATTAATTAATGTGATTCGATGTTTTGTAAATTTTTCTTAAATATTATAAATATTAGAATTAAATATTTGAATTTACTGCGAGAATCGTAATTGTTTTAATTCAATTTCCTAACGATAAAATTAAAATTAAATTAAAATTAAAATAATTAAAATAGTAATAAAAAATTTCGCTTAATACCACATTATGCAATATTTAAAGCAAAGATTTCTATAATTAATATTGAATTAATAAATGAATAAAAGAAGAAATTTTTCTTATATGAAAAAATGAATAAATTCCTTACTTAGCTCTGCGAAACAAATCGAAAAATTCGATAGATCGCTTTCCAAGATAATAAATTTTCGCGATTTTATACAAAATCATTTGAGAATTTGTGGTTAATGAATGCCAAACAACATCGAGTGATGCAAATGTATGCATAATTCCACCACTTTTCGTATTTATTTCAAGCAATCGCGATTCACATGCGAGAAATTCTTGTTTATAACTGAGCATTGTATTCACATTTATCCATAGAAAGTTGAATGCTGATAATATTCTCTATAAAAAATTACGTTAACAGAATGATAAATTCTAATGATAACTTTAAGCAAATTAAATATAAATTATATTTTTATAAAAATAATCTCGAAAAATTTTCCATTCCTTCGTATATTTTTTCTCTTCAAATGTTACGAAATAAAATAAAAGTAATAAAACAGTATATTATAAAATAGATGAAAAATCATTGTTTAAATTCAAAAGTCTATAAGAAATAAAAATAAAAAAATAATAGAATTTGCAAAAATAGCAAAAAATTACTTGATTCCACAATACCATTGCATTGAAATGATCAATTGTTGCCAAAATATGAATATTTGGACATTTCGCCAATTCCGCGAGAGCTTGCTGTTCGACATTCAACCTAAGGAAGAAAGAAAATAAAAAATATCATGTGCAGTACCACAAAAAGATGAGGCAAAATGTTGCAAAATGTCAATAACTTCATTAAAATAAGTCAATAATCCATTAAAAACCTTAGTAAGCAGCTCAGATAGATCATCTTGACGTAAGCGAACTTGCCATCAAAAATGAAATCCATATGGCAAAAACCCAATTGTACCAGATCAGACATTCTTCTAAACCCTTCAAAACCCTTCATCCTAGCAACCAATGTAGATCGAGATGATCCAGAAATGTTTGGCGCTGTTAGAACTCAATGGAAAATAAACAATAATAAAATATACCATAAAAAGGAAAAAATGATCAATCAGTGATATTATCAATCACCAAATTAATAGAATGAAAAAAATAAATGTTACCTTAGCCCCGATCCATCAATATTATTTATAACTAAAACAATGTCTTCATTGTTTTTCGATATGGCATTCGAAATTGAATTCGCCCAATCCAACAGTTTAATATTATTTTTTCTCGAAAGTTTCAAATGGAGATTCGATTCCAAAGCCTTTATTAGTATAAATAATTTATAATTAACAGTTAATAATTTACAATTAATTAATTAAATAAAAATTAATTAATCAAATAAAAAAAACAAATGAAAATAAAAAGAAAAATTAAAATAATATTCATTATTAATATTTTTTCTTTTAATTTTTGATTCTTACAAATTTTTTTATTTTACAATTAAAAATGCCCTCAATCCATAATAAAAAATGTAAAAATATAATTAAAAAATAAAGTTTTCAGTGCAAAAAAAATAAAAAACGAACATGAAAGATTGTTCTAATATTCACTGACGGTTGAAACGCATCAATTAATAAAAAAGTGTGTTCATTTAAAATTTCATGACAGAAATCTTGTAGTAAAGAAATCTTTGAGCCAATGCCATAAATCTGCATAATAATTAACCAATTTTGAAAAGAATAACTGAGTTAAAATCCCTTAATTATTAAAATTATCATCAAAGACCATAAAAAATTCTCTCTGCATTTATACTTTACTTATACTATTTAAGCATATATATATTCTCAGATAAAGAGGATTGGCATAGCCACATTAATCATGGAATCAACCATAATAGTGCTTTAAGCTATTAGAACTTTTTTTAAAGAGCTCTTATCATTACTGGTTAAACTCGCTTCACTATATTGTCGCACTAGAAGAAGAATAGAAGAACTAAAGGTAAATCGCCAATATCACCTCAGCCGGATTTTCAGACAAGTTTATTCCTGCAGAGAGTAGCAAACCTCAGCATCGACGTTCCGAACTGAGCAACAACTCATTGAGTTAAGCTATTAGAAGTTAGCAAAATTTATACAATATTTAGACTTCGCATCGAAATATCACAAATATTAAATTAAAATAAATACCATTAAATTAAAACCAGCAGCGAGATAAGTGAACCATTTATCAAAATATTCAATCATTCGATTATTTTCATCTTTAATTTCTGTTGGCAAAAAATTATCGATAACCTTAAAAAATATGTAAACATATGTGAAAAAAAGAAAAAAAGAAAATTACATAATAAAATAAAAATGAACGTTTTATAAAAAAATAAAATTTATAAAAAAAATAATTCCATCAGCAAATAATTTTAATGAAAAAAAAAAAATAGCAGCTAACTTCATAACATTGGCGCAAATTCTCCAAATTGCAACGAGGTAAATATTTCGAATTCAAATTGTCTGTATCGCTTTCCGTATTACTAAAATATTTCAAAGCATTAATTTTTTTTCTAAAGCACTCACCATAATTAGTTAGACTCGCTCCTCTGGCTTGTATCACTAGATAAATCTGTGAGAGAGCTTCTTGGCGATAAAAAATATAGGTGAATCGCCAGCACCAACCGGATTTTTGGACAAGTTTACTTCTGCGGGGAGTGGAACCTCACCATTTGTGCCTCAGAATTGAGCAACAACCCACTAAGCCGTTCTATTTCTTGTAAAGCATTATACAAATTATTATTTAAATTTATATTTAAAATAATGAGCCTTTTCGACATATTCTTTGAAAATAACTTTTATTTAATTGAAATTGAAAAAAAAACTAAAATCTTCAGCAGACTATATAGATAAATTAGATAAATTAACGACTAAAATTTAAAAAATGAAATTTTTTTTTTAAATATTGAATTTTTATTTTTTTTAATGTTTTATATTTTCGTTAAAAAAAAATTAAAAGAACTCGTCGTCCGATTTTCGCTTTCCCTTATTTAAATAACGCTTTCCACGCTTAAAATAATTATCAATCGCAGTTGTTTCGATCAATTCATCCACTTGATCTTTGAAAAATTCGAATGAATCTGAAGCACCATCATCGTCCTTTTCAGCTGATATATTATGCTTTAATCATGCAAAATTATTACGGAGAAAAGAAATATATGAAGAAACAAATTATGAAATCTGATTTTTATCAATAGATATCGATAAAAAAGTTATCAAATCTTTTGCAAAGATGACAAATTTAATTCGCTAAAAATAAAGCCTAGCACTTGAAATGAAAATAGGACGTTGGACATTCTATTCTTTCTTCTTCCAATAGCTCCCAGCATTATTGGTTAGACTGGCTCCAACGGCTACAAGGGTAAGAAGTTCCCAAGCAGCGCAGTCTGATGCCACCGTCAACAGTAATAGAAGCCATCCCTTTTTCTATCGTCTAAGTCCATATATTGTTGGTCCACCTACACATTCAAAACCGTATCAATCCAAGTCTTGATTGGTCCACCTCGCTTTTGATGCCATTCATCACAAGGTTTAGCAAGTAATTCTATTAATAACTAATGATCTAATGAATTTATGCAAAATCTATCCTAACCTTCGATAGTATTTGTTGTCTTCGTACAGCTTTCGAAGATGAGCACAGATTTTGATTAGAAGCATTAATATTAACTTTTTTGTCGGAAACACGATTCTAAAAAAAAAAAATATATAAAAAAAACTATAAGATGTGGAAAGTAAATGCAAAATAATTCCAGTGATAACTGAAGCACTTGGAACTGCGATACCTAAACTAGAAAAATGGCTTCGCTACATTCCAGAAGCAACATCATAGATCTCTATTGAGAAGAGGGCAGAAACCTTAATCTCTCAGGCCTCTGACAGAGGACCTAAAGAATGAGGATATTACCACCCACAGAGAGGGAGGAAAGCTTTTTTTGGAGATATACCATTTTTACGTTTATAGGAACAGTTTTAAAGTCTTATCCCTCTAATTTTTCCTTATCAACCTGCACAATTCGCTGCAAGCAGATGATATAAAGGAAGTAAAAGTGGAATATTAGTGCAAAAGCAAGTGGTGTTTAGGGAATACAAAAGGTTTCGATTTAATTCTCCTCTCCCCCCCCCCCCCCCCCCCCCCTCCCTTTTTTTCCTGCGGATTTTTCCTATACTTCCTTTTACCCTCGCATTTTGTTCATTCTCATCAACTTGTACTTCATTTCAACTTTTTCCCCATTACAATATTATTTTTCTACCAATATTTAAATTTTCCATTATATTAGATAAATTACAAAACCAGTTATAAAACATACATTTAAGACCTCTTTCTTACTGCTGCTTGTCCATGATTTTCGATGTATTAACTGTCCTTTCATGGAACTTTAAAAGAATCTGAAAAGATTCCTCCTAGATTACTTAAAAAATAATTCTTTGGGGACCTATTCAACAAACTTTTTTTTAGATTCAAAATGGCACAAAAGTCTAATCTATTTCTTAAATGTGCAAATAAGGGACTAAAAATCAAAAAAGTGAAACCGCCATCATAACACCAAATACCATAACACAACCCTCCAATAAATTAGTTCCATGGTTTCCACTAACTATTGCTATGGGGGTGAGCGAATACATATTAATCAGAAAATCACGCATAGAACCGGATCGATTCGGTCACCACCAGTTACCCAAATTCCACTTTTAATAATCGACAAATAGAACAATATTTTAATATTAATTAATATTTTAATATTTAAATCACATTTAATATGCATATATAATAATCAAAAATAAGGTTCACACAAATAATCAAAGGCGCATTTCATTTACCATTCTTTATCATTTATCAAAAACATTATTTATGCATTATTTTTAAGCAAAAAATAAACAGTACGACTGATCGACTATATAAAAACCCTAAATAATTTACGTTTATATAAATTACGATCAAATAATTAATTAAAATTTAAACAGTAATATAAATTTACATAAATATTTAGAAATCAAAAATTAATTAAAAATTAAATTACATAAAACAATTTGAATTTTTTCATTTTATTGAATCGTTTATTTCATGAGGGACCATTTCAGTTGTTCTTTTGCTGAACCGATTAACTGCAAATTTTAAAATAAGAAATTTAAAAAATAATAAAAGTCGAATAAAAGTCGAAATTTAGCAAAATCTGCATGCAAAACCAAAGATGCCATAAAAGGTTAAAAAATTTACAATAGGGAAATAAGGATACATTCAATCAGCGATCTTTTCTGCGATTAATTTAGGAGAAAGCAAGGACAAATCTATATAATTTATAATTTCGAATCCTGAATAATAAAAAAAAAGCAAGCATCTAAGTATGGCATAACCTGCTCGTACTCCTTAATTCCTCTAAAAAACCAAAAAATACTCTTCTTCTTAGAAAAAAATTGAAACTGCAGGATGGCCTAGGCCTAATGATGCAATAATCTATCATGCTTTTTTACAAAATACCTAAACTCGCTGCTGTAGGCATTTTTTGAAAACGATCCCAGACGCGCTAAAATCAAATTTAATATTTTTTGGCCAAATCTGTGATTCAAAAAAAAGAAAAAAAATTTATCACCCAGTAAACAAAAATAAATATTATGTATTATGCTCATATATAGGAAAAACAAACCTGCAGGTTAAATAATATATAAAAAACACTTATTTCAACAAAATTATTGGAAGCCCATGTGGTGAAAAAAACAAAATTAACGTTGAAATCAGTGGAAATATTCATTCATTCATTTCAACCCTTTTCAATAGATTAAATATAGTCATATTCACGCTATAATGTCTCATGCACTTTTTCAATTAAACTTACCGACATTCCAACTTGAGAAATAGTTTGGTCACCAAATATCAAATCATCTGAACGTAAAGCACAGCGACTGATTATGGCTTGTGGTTCTGTTTCTAGGAGAATACTGCAATAGGAGAATTTTTTTAAAAAATAATTTAATGTATTATGAAAGATAGAAAGCCAAGAATTTAGAAAGAATAAACGGATTTTGCAAGATCGACGGACGTGACTTCGAAGGATTAGTAACGTGAACCGTTCTAAACAAGAAACATAAGGAAAGAATAAATTACCCGTTATCGCAAATTTCATCCATAATAAGCATAGCTAAATCCATATTTTCCACCAATGCTTTCTTTTCAACATTTTTTCGCAAAATTAATGAAATTGAATCATATAGACAATTCAATGCAGCAACAAGTATTAGCTCATTTTCATCCGAACTTCCCATGACATAGAAAAATAAGTCAACATTACTTCGATAAACACAAATTAAACCATCAAGAAGAATAATCTCCGCTGAAAGAAAAGAAAAATCTAGAGAAAATATCGAACTAAAAATATATTAAAAATATGGTACCGAATAAAAAAATTTTTGTTAAGGTTTACTGATATATGCAACAAAAGTATTCTTTCTAGCATAAAGTTCATAATTTTCTAGAGAAAATATTGAATTACTATTAAAAATATGATAACAAGAACATCAATATTTTAAACCAATTTTAATCGATAAGAATTATTTACCGTTCGCTTTGCTTGTTTTCTGAAATAAATTCTTCTCGAAAGCTTTTTGGTCTTTAACTGTTGGCAAAACATCGGGATCATAATACTGCAATAATAATCTATATAATTTATTAATACTTATCAGTGTGTATTGTAGTATGCCTGTATGCATGCATATGTCCCGAAAAAATTCATCGAATTAAGTTTCAAATTGAGAAATCTCGGTCCATCGTTGAAATTCTGTAACACTCTCGAAAACAAATAGCAAATTTCTGGAACAATCCCCCAAGTGATCTCTTAAATCGCCATAAATCCTATTAGATTACTTTGTAATCCCACCCTATCTCACTGTTCTCTTTAAAAAAGATAAGATTAATAGGAGAAACCTTGAACCTTGGCTAATATTCGATTGCCATCTTGGTCCAAAATTGCGAGTGCTTTTATATTATAAAGAGATGAAGGATCCTAAAAAAAGTTTCAATGTTCAATAGCAATAACATAGAAATATTTAATGCAAAAAAAAATTCTGCAATAAATAAATATTAGAAATTTGCATAAAAATGAAAAGGAATCAAAAGAAATACATACCAGGTCAAATGTCATTTTTCTAATATTTCCAATATCCTTTTTTTTAGCGAAAAACCGAAATTTTTCTATAAAATTTATAAAAATTATTAATATATAAGAGTTCAGATAAAATAGAAAAAATTTATACTACTGCCAGCAAAAATCGAAAGAACATTTTCGTAAATTTAACCTAATTTAATGCCTTAAAATAAATAAACAATGAAAAATGAATATTTGAACCAATCTAAATCTCTATTCTCAGATGCAGCCTGAATTTCGTTCATCTAGCGGAGTTAACAAGACGAGTGCTATAGGACAGAGAGTAAAAGCGGCAGTGAGGTGGCTCGCTAACTGTATTAAAAGACAATTATTCGACTCCACTTAGTCCACTGGCAAGAGTCTAGATTTAAAGCAGTTAAAGCAAATGCCTGGATACTGGCGACCTAATTGCAATACCAGCCAAGTAAGTGATTTCTAGGCAAAACTTGCCTGACCCAACAAGTAAACGAGCCTGGCCTAATTATTTCGCATTTTAATTAAGTACCATAAAGCACCATAACAAAACTTATAATTCAAAAAACGACTGGAACACTCTACTTATTTACAAAATATAAATAAAAAATTCTTCTACGCACCTTACAAAACTCTAAAAAACTCTAATACTTTGGTTCCACATCATTTATAAATCGCAACTGACAATTAGTCGTGAAAATTTTAAATTTACGTTGGCTATAACGTGGCCGCAGCCGTGGCAAATTATGGCCCGGATTTTAAAAGATAAATTGAATCAATATAAACAAATTTATATAAATATTGGATTGGAATTGTATTCGTTTAAATTGAGGCGATTGTCGGATTTCTTTGCAAATTTTTTAAAATTAATTCAATTATTTAATATAAAAAAGTTGGTAAATATATTTTTTATAAAAAGAACTGCCGTTTTTTATTTTTTCTTTTTCTAAATATAATAAAATTTTTTTTTATTTTTTTTAAATTTATGAATTTGTTTTCTATTTTTTTCTTTGTTTTTCTTCAATTTTTGTATTCATTAACTTTTATTCGATTTTAAATTTTTATTCGTAATTTTGGAATAATTTAATTCAATTTTAAAAAAGAATCTCTAATATAAAATTTTTTTTTATTTTTCGTTATATTTATCGTATTTTTGATGTATTTTTCAGTGACTTTTATTTTTATTTTATATATATATATTTTATAGGAAAAATTAATTGAAAATTATAATTAATATTAATTAATAATATTATTGACAAAAATGCAATACAAATTTTTTATCCTTTTTTTCTTTATTATTAAATTCTTTAAATTTTTTTAATATTTTCGATTTAATATTGATATTTTTTCAAAATTTAAAATTATTTTCGAAATTTCGAAATTTAAAGTTATTTCATGCATTTTATTATTTGTTAATATTATTGATCAATAAACAAATATTTTTTATTTTTTGTTTTATTATTAAATTTTTTAAATTTTTTTTATATTTTCGATTTAATGTTAATATTTTAAAATTTTTTAAAATTATTTGTAGATTATTTGTAAATAAAGCGTGAAAATAAAAAAATCTACTCATTCCGCTGACTGTTAGACTGTTAGTTACGATGGATGAGAAATTTTTTATAAGGAGGAATCACATAATGACAGAATGAATTGTTACCATTAGAATAGAACCATTAGGATTTTTTGATGGGTAATCTTTTAATGTTGTGGCAGATTTAGGTGGGAAACTTGGAACAAAGGCCGAGAATATATTTAAAGCATTTTCTTCAAAGTGTATTAACAGGTTTTTGTACTATTGCAATTTTACCGCGTTGTTTTATTCATTTAAATTCCATTGTGTTATGAAGAAATTTTTGTTTTCCTTCCTTTTTTAAGATTTCTGGTGGCTTCACTGACTTGTCGGACCAGCGATTTGCACCAACGCTGATGCTGAACTTATGCTGAAACCGCAGCAATAAATCTGTCTTCATTCAAAAGTAGGATTAATACTCGCGACTCACCCATCGCTGAGTACCTCACTGGCAGAATTTGTCTGGTTCGATAAGCCAGCGAAGCGAATTTTCAACCAGAAATGGCAAGCTTTCTTAGAGGAAAAAAAAGACGAACTTTTATACTCTCGCATAAATCTTCAGGATATTTTACAACACTCAGCCAACGATTTTTGAAGTTTATATTTGTTTTTTTCTGAATTTTTTTTATAATTATATTTTAAAAAATGTATTTTTATTTCAAAATGGCCATTTTTTTATTTTTATTTTATATTTTATTATATTTTTGTTGTATTTATTGCATATATAAATAGGGTTTATTTCGTTAATTAATTTTAATTTATATAAATTTACATAATTTATGAAACAATTTTGAATTTTATTCAATAATTTTCAGTAATTTTATTTCTACGAAAATGTATAGTGTCAAGCCACTGAAATTGGCACAACGATCGGTCAGTTATTTCCCTTTGATAATTATCCTAATTATTCAAAGAATTTTTTATTAAAAACTTTTTATTTTTTATTATTATTTCATTTAATCTTTTTTTTTTAATATTCTTTTTTAATATAATAAGTATATTTAATTTTTTATACATATTTATTATATTTTTATGCATTATATATTTATATAATATTTTATTATATTTTATTATATTTATATATATGTATATATATATTTATATTTTATTATATTTATATATATGTATATATGTATATATTTATAAATTGAATTATTCTTCTATCGAATTTAATAAATTTTAAATTTAATAGATAGGTAGAAATGTTTTTATATCGAAAAAATTTTAGTAGAATTATTAAATTTTAGCAAATTTAATGGACTTTTAGTAAAATTAATTTTAGAAAATTTATAATTGATTAATTTTAATAATAATTAAAATTAAATAGAAAATTGCAATGAGAAAATTAAATGGTAGAAGAATATTTTCATTTTAATTTTAAAATTTAGTAATTAAAATTAAATACTAATTAATTTTGTTTATTAAAAATAAATGAAAAATTGCAGCGAATTTGAAAATTAGAAAAATTGTTGCTAAAAGTACGCCGAATAAATTAATTAATATTAATATTAATATAATAAATTAATATTAATTAATATTTTAAATTTTCAATCTTTTTATTTATTTTTCTACTGTTCTTTTTTCTATTCTTCTTTCTAAAAGATTGAAATACAAAGAGAATTTTCCTATCCATCTTTTTCTTTTTTTATTTTGAAATTATTTTTAATCATTACGTCTGGTTAGGCTCATTGGCTTGCCGGACTAGACAAAATTTGCCGGAGATTCAGTTGGTGATAGAAATATTGGTGAATCACTGCGTAAGTCGCATTACTGATTTATCCCCTCCGGGAATATTGGCACTGGTTAGCGATTAATAATACCTCATTGAGCCTTTCGATTTCCCGGAAATTTTTCAAATTTATTCTCATAATAAATTGTCCAATTCGGCGACCATTCAACGATCAATTTCTTCTTTGATGATTTTCTATAAAATTCATTCATTCTTTTTATTATTTTTTACAATTTTTTAATTTTAATCAATTATTTTTTTTGTATTTTTTCTTTTTTCAAAAATATTTTTTATTCGAATTGAAACTGATCGATTTAATTTCTCGTTCAATATTGACGACTTCATTTTATTTTACGTTGTTGTAAAATAACGTCATTTATTTAAAATAAGAGAAATTTAATTCAGTGCGCATAAACACGGCGGGGCCTATACTGGTTAGTTTCGATCTGTTTAGCTATAAGTACGTTGAGAAATTTTTTCGCTAGAGAGTCATTTTCAGATAGAAATAAATTATCTGCCATCTTGCATCATCCAGATTTTTCAATGGTAGGTTTGCTTATATTACATGCATAAAGTAAAACTCTATGCCTAGTTGCAAATGCCGTTAATTTGGGCAACAAAAACTCGACTGTCATTTACGATTATTCGATATTATTATTATTAAATCAAGAGGTTTTAATATTATAAAAAAATAATGGTTCTTAAAGATGGTCTGTGAACCTCTGTGCTGAAGTGCTCTTTCATCGGTTTTTCTGAAAATCAAATTTATAATATTTTTCTTAAAGCGCTTAACTTATTTTTATCCGTTTTTTTTAGAAAATACGGTTGTTATAAAGATTTTAATAATTTTTAATATTTTTTCAGTTCCACAGTTTTGTAAGGCTTTTAGAGTTCTATTAGATTTAGAAAAGCGATTTCAAAAGGGAATTTCACAAAAAGTTGGTTGATTAAAATAAATCACTTGAATCAGTTTTTTCTTTTATTAATTCAGTGATTTCTACTTATTCTCGTTTTTTTTAAAGAAAAAACAAATTTTAGGGAGAAAAAATATTAAATAGTAATGAGGAAGAATATGAATGTGCATCATCTCTTGGTTTGTTTTCCTTTTCGTTGTTAATAAATTTCAGGATTTCTCTCCAGAAATTCCAGAAAGCAAAGTTTGTTTTTTCCTTTTTTTACTACTAATATTTTTTCTATGATAGTTTGGCCGATTGTATTTCGCTAGAGAGAGAGGGAGAGAAAAGATATAAATGGATATCCAGCAAGCTTTTTATAATATTTTTTATACTTTTGTGGAACTGAAATTGTTTTGCTTGATTACTGATCCCTTTATTTGCTTAATTATGCTTATTTTTAGTTTATTTTAATTCAATTTTTCTCCTTTTTTTTCCAGTGGCTGATGTGAGTAAAATATTGAAAAATTCAAAAAAAACATCAGTTGCAAAAATATTAAATGATACGGCAAAAGGACTGAAACATGTTCATCAGTTTCCGCATCCAACTCAAGAAGATTTAATTTATGAGCTTTTTAAATGTTCGAAACGAGAAGGCGAAGCATCGATGGGGAAATTACTTTCGGTTGGTTTCTTTTTTTTCTCCATAATCTTTTATTATATCAATTAAAATTGATATTTTAAAATTTCTTTGTGATTTTTTTTTAAAGGTGCTTAGATCGTTTGGTATAAGAGAAGATGATCCACGCCTGAGGCAAACAATCGAAAAAATGCGTGATTACGAATCGAAAATTGAAGATGATTGTGATACGCGACATTGTTTACTTGATAAAGAACAATTCAGAGAGTATTTATTGTTTATTTTTTCATGATTATAGAAAAAGTTTCTAAATTTCGGTAATGTGATTATTGATTAACGGTTAAGAATCGGGGTCATATTGCTTGCATCGGATTAAAATCGCATTTCATTGATTTGCTGAATAAATAGGAAGGAAATATTTTTGTGGAAAATAGCTTAATAGCCTCCATTTAATGGTTCAACTTAAAGGTGTATTCGACCAAGTATAAATCTCATATCGCAAGCACTTCGCAATGATCTTATAATTCCATGTTGGGGAGAATTTACTGGTAAAATTCGAGAAATATACGAAGAGGTTCAGTGAGGTTTTTTGCTTGTTTTTTTGCATAATATTTTTATTTTGGTAAAATAGATAAAATGTGTGACAGAATCGTTGCGTCTTTATTTCATTTATATATGGGTATTAATTTCTGTGAATCGTTTGCAGTGTCGAGAACTACATGATGGTAATGTTGCAACTTATATTCCACAATTGGCTCGTCAAGATCCAAATAAATGGGGAGTTTCTATATGTACGATTGATGGGCAGCGTATTTCATTTGGTGATTCGAAACATCACTTTTGTTTTCAGTCTATTTCTAAAGGTTAATCTTCTAGCCTATTATTTTATAGTAATTTCTCGGTTCGTTCGTTTCGTTAATAAAGACAATACAGTTTTAATATATTGCAGCTTTTAATTATGCGATACTTGCATCGGATGTTGGTGCGGATTATGTGCATGATTTCGTTGGGCATGAACCATCTGGAAGATTATTTAATGAAATTTGTCTCGATTGTAATGGTACTATTATTAGATGGATTTTTAATTCAGGCTTGAAAAAAGGGAAAAGAAAATAGAATTTTTGCATTTTTATGATTCGCTTTGCAGGTCTTTTTTTTAGGAAAACCGCATAATCCTTTAATTAATGCTGGAGCAATAGTGGTGACTTCTTTATTAAAAAGTCAGTATGAAATGGCTGATCGTTATGATTTTGTAAGTTTTCAGAGCTTTTTATGATCTGCGAACCGGTACGTATCTGGGACTGTAGAATAAATAAAAAATTGTAAAATAACGTGGTATATAAAATTTGTTACTGAGTTTATCTTTATAAGCATATTTAATTAGTCACCTCACTCAATTCTTTCAATTTTTCTTATATTGCTGTATGATAATTATATTTTAAATGTTTTTTTGTCTTTTAGGTCCTAAATGAATATAAAAAATTGGCTGGAGGTGGTTACGTGGGCTTCAATAATTCAACGTAAAGCAAAATCATTTTGCTTTTGTTCGAAAATTTTGTTGCACCGATAAAAATCAATTTTTTGTATGGTACTAGTTTTAGTAATAATCTATCAATTTTTTCTTAAGATTCTTATCGGAACGTGATAACGCTAATCGCAATTACGCTTTATCGTATTATATGAAAGAAAATAATTGTTTTCCTCCATCAATCAAATCGTTGAGGGAAGAACTGGATTTCTATTTCCAACTTTGTTCGCTTGAAACAAATTGCGAGAGTGCGGCAGTCATGGCTGCAACTCTTGCTAATGGAGGTGATTTAACTTTCTTTTTATGGATGAATATTAATTGAAAGTCGTTAACGCTGAAAGAAAAGGATTTCGTATACAATATTTGTTATATTTAATTTTAAGGGGTTTGTCCATTAACAAATGAGAAATGTATCAGCGCCAGACCATGTCGTGATATATTATCACTAATGTATTCTTGCGGAATGTACGATTACAGTGGTCAGTTCGCTTTTCAGGTAATGAATCAGATCTTTTTGTTGAATTATAAATTGATAAACCTTTACTACTTTTATACTACTCATTATTTTTTGGCATTATATTATTTCTTTCCAGGTTGGCTTACCAGCTAAATCTGGCGTATCTGGGGCTATGATTGTTGTTGTTCCTAATTTGATGGGTATTTGTCTGTGGTCGCCTCCTCTCGATAGAATGGGTAATACGCATAGAGGTGTAGCTTTTTGTAAGGTATGTAATTTTGTTTCACAAAATTTCATTTTCATACTTTTTCTTCTAATTTTTTATTTGTTTTTTTTAATTTACTAAAATATTTACTTAATTTATTTAATTTTACAAGATTTCCTATTTTTTTAAGATTTTTTCACTAAAATATTTCAGAAACTGATTGATAAATTTAACTTTCATAATTACGATAGTTTATTGCATGCGGATATTAAAAAAATCGACCCTCGAAGGAAAGCAGCGCAGAATGAATCAGAACTTATTGTTGAATTAATGTTTGCTACGAAGAAAGGCGATTTGGATTCAATTCGGCGGTTGGTTTAATTTTTCTTTTTCCTTTTTCCATCAGTCTGAAAATATGGAAAAGTAAAGATTTGAGTCGGATTATATCATAGATTATTTCTCAGTAGACCAACTCATAATTGCTCAGTAAGCAATTATGAGATGAATTATGTTAACAAAGAAAAAATAAACGGTGAGTGGTGAATTTAGAATGTTTCTTGGTGGAATCGATTTGAATATGCGTGATTATGACGGTCGTACTGCATTGCATCTCGCTGCATGTGAGGGGCATGAAAAAATTGTTGATTTTTTTATCAAAAGAGCGTTTGTAGATCTCGAGCCGAAAGACAGGTTCGTTCAATCAGTTTTTTCTCGTTTATAGTTCAATTTTTATCATGTAATTTGTCGTTTATGGTTATGGTTATAGAATTATAAAATTAAATTATAATTATTTTTATGTTTATACAATTATCATTAATTTTATTTTTATATATTTTATATATTATATATATATTTTTATATATTTATATAGTGTTATGTTAATATTTAATTGCAATGTGTTTAATATATGGTTTTGGATAATTAATGGTACCATTTTTTGTTTTTTGAATATCGTTGAAAATTTATTTTGCATGAAAAACAAAAACGTATAAATAAATAAAATAATTGTCAGCTTATTTGTCAAGATTTATTTAAATATTTATTACAGGTGGGGAAGATCACCTTATGATGACGCGAAATCTTTTGGCTTTAATAATATCGCAGAAAAAATTAGTGAAGCAGTTAAAGAGATGAAGAATCTTCCGTTAAATATTAGGTTTGTAGGCATAGTTTCCTTTTTTTTTTCAAATGGAACTAAACCATTTTAAACAATTTGTTTCATTTCTTAATTCTTTTGAAAATTCTTTTTATCATAATTTTTTTCGAAAATTAACTGCTTTAATTTTATTTAGAATGGATGCGCTTGAAATGTTAGATATGAATGGCGATAAAGCTTCAATGGAACAAAAAAATTTTTCCCCGGAAAGTTTAAAAGATTCAACTGCTTGGGAGCAAGGTAAAATTTTTTTTCTATTACAAATCCGTTGACCCGTTGACAGATGTGTTGTCAATTTCTTCTTTTTGCGTTTGCACCATTTCTATTTCTTTTGGTTCCATTGTTCACCTTTTCGCGAAATAATTAAGGATATAAGTGGGTATACAGCATATTTTATTTCATTTTTGACAGATTTGACAGTATTTTTGTTTGAGGATAGAAACTGGAACCAGTTGTTTACCTTATGCCAATATAATTTATTTGCATTGAAAATTTATTGTTGCGCTGAATATTAGTTTCTTTGTATAATATATTGCATTTCGTTTTGTAGCATTTAATGATGCCAAAATTATTTATTTATTTAATTTATTTAATTTTTCAGATTTGCGTATCCTTGTGGATCGTTTCTCAAATGGTACCGACTGCTCGGATTATGATGAACAGGAATTGGAGATGAGTGAGCGAAATAATCGAAATAAATTTGAAAAATTATAAAATTTTTAGAGGAATATTTTTATTGGAAACAATCAAATTTTTGTTGGATTATAACGGATTTGTTTGATTGAAACAAAAATACTTTTGTTTTACTATTTTTTATTGTTATTGTGACATTTTATTTTTGCTAATTTTATGAATATTTTTCTTTTATATTTTATAATTCTTCATTATATGAAGTGTTTTGCAGAATTTCTTACTTAATTCACCAATTTTTCTGGTAATAATCGCTCATTTACTCTCATTGGTATTATTGGTATTTTTTAATGGAAATTATTATTATTGATATTAAAAAGAAATTAAAATTTAGAAAATACATATGTTTATTGGCATAAAAAAGAAATTTTATAAAAATGATAAAATAAAAAGAAAAAATAATCCCTTAAAATAACATTCCCATTATAACAATAATCCCTTAAAATAACATTCCCAATAACATTAAAATAATCCCTTAAAATAGGTTGAAGAAAATAGATAAATTGTAGAAAATATTTTGCAAAAATATTTTTAAAAAAATCAAAATTTATTTATTTGTTAATATAAAAATATCTTTTAAAAATCACAAATTTAAGGAAAAAAAATTTGGTTATTTGATTGTTTTGTCCTAGGGAAAATATTTTACTGAAAATAAAAAATTTATATTTATTTTTTATATTTATGTTTATACAAAATAAATTTATACAGAATAAATAAATATTTATATAAATTGCGTAATATCGAATTTTGTTATGCATCTATATGCATCGTTTAATTGGTACCATAGGACATAAAGTGACATATAATGAGGATGGTGGTACCATTCAGCCTAGTTGACGAATTATTTCATTATAAAAAAATCGTAAATAATGAAAACAATAAATATGAAATGAAATGCCAAATCCACTTTTGATAATAAAATATATTTAAATAATAGAATATGTTAATATATATTTAATATATATATATAGATTAAATATATAGATTATATTAAATAATAAATATATATTGAATATAAAATATATTTGAATAATACTAATTTCCTTTTAAGAAAAATTTTTTTTATTTTCCGATTTTTAAAATGTTTTTTCTATATTTTTTAGTTTTTTCTTCTTTTGCCTTTTTTATCTTTCATTTTTAACTTCGTTTTATACTTTTAATATTTGTTTTTTTTTAAATTTTTTTTAAATTTGTTTTTTTTTCAAATTTTTTCTAAGAAATGAACAAAAAGAAAAATTTTGAGACGAAATCCTCGAAGCAAAATTGAAATTTTCAAAATTGAAAGAGAAATTACAAAATATTAATAATATTAAAAGAGGAAACTAGAAAATGTGGAAAATAAAGGCCAAAATAATCCCAGTGAAGCACAAGGAATTGTGCTTCACTGGAAAAATCCAAGACTTCAGAAGATTCCAGGAACGACATCAGAGATCGATCCCGTCCAGAAGAGCGCACTATTAGGAACAGCTAAGATAAGATAACGCACAGAACCCTCAATCACCCAGGCCACTGGTAGAGGGCCCGAGGTTGAGGGTCCCCACACACCCACAGAGAGATTAGAGATGTTTGTTTTTAAAACATAACAAAAAGAAAAATTTTTAAGAATTTTTAAAATAACAATTAAAATTAGATGTTTAAAATTGGATTTCTAAATTTTAAGTTAATTTCGATAATAACAAATTTGTCCCTAAAATTTGATTATAAATATAAAATTAAATATAAAATTAAATTAAAAAAGAGAAAATCGAATAAACCAAATTTAAACCAATAAAATATTTGAATGATTTATAAAATTATAGTTTCAAAATAAATTTATTAATTAAATATTCCTTTAATTATTTAATTAGCAATTTAATTAACTAATAAAATTTATCAAAATAAATTTTTTATCATAAAAATTAAAATTAAAAAGGAAATAAAAAATTTCAGAGTAAATTTTATAGCTAAAATCGATTTATTTTTTTTAAAAATAAATTTATATACGAAATAAAACTTTATTAATTTTATTTATTTCTATTTTTTAAAAATATTATTTAATTATATTATAATATAATATAATATATTTATATTATATTGCTTAAAAAAATTAAAAAAATTAAAAAACTAAAAATTATTTCAATTGTACATTTAGAATTAATTTATAATAATAAAACATAATTACAATATTAATTTATTAATTAAAATTAGCAAGTTTATTTGATTTATTCGAAATTTTTAATTTATAAAGTATTTTAAAATGGAACAACAATGAAAGTAAAATTCTAATAAATATAATAAAAATTAATTATTAAAATATTTAAAATTATTCATTTGAGAATTTTAGAACAAATTTTAGCTGCAACATTTTAGAAATTGGTCTTACATAGTTTTTTTGCAAACGGTACATTATTTAAGGATTCAAATGTCAATCAATGACTTTAAGCGATTTTTGCATTTGGGTTGCGAATATTTTAATTAATAAAATTTAATTTTATTATAGTAGTATTAATTTAGTTAATACGATTTATTCTTATTAAATGTAAAAAATTTTCTAATAAGGCGTTATTAATAGTTTTAGAAAGTCGTAAAAACTGAAAATATTTTATTTTAATTTTTAATTTTTTAATTTTTATTTTTAAAATTTAATATTAATTTAATATTAATTTTTTTCATTAATATTTTAATACTGATTTCTCGATTTATAATCAATTTTAATTCGTAAAAAAATATCGATCGACTTGAGATGAATTGATTGATTTAAATTATTTTTTATTCCCAAGTGACTTTATGGTGGAAGAGGTTTTATCGTATTGCGATTATTGCGATTAGAGTTAGCTAAATTAAAAATCAATAAGTTAATGTTCGTAGAATATATATATATATACATATACATATAGTATTACTATGATCCCTAAACTATGACAATAAATAGAAAAGTAGCTTCAGCAGGTTCCAGGAGTAATAATCTCTCTCCAGAAGAACGCATTTCTAGGAGCAGCTAAGGCACTGCGCAGAACACTTAGTCTCCCAAGTGTCTGGTACCCGAGGTTAAAGATGGTCATGGCCACCCTTCTTCTTCTTCTTATTAAGAGTCCTCACCATTACTGGTTGAACTCGCTCCGTCTTGTCCCAGTGGACAAATGCACCAGGGAATCCCTTGGCGATAGTAGAGGTGAGTCGCCAATATACTCGGATTTTTTAACAGATTTTTTCAAATATTATTTTCATGAATTAAAAAATATTTTTATGAATTAAAAAATTATTTATTTTTAATGAAATAATGATATTTATTGGTAATAAATGTATTTTATGTATATATATATATATTAATCAAAATAATTAAGTTAAAAAAAATTTTTTTTCAGATGGCGACAAATTCAAAACGAATTCATCAATTAAATAAACAAATGATATTTAATGGTGGTAAATATATTTTGTATATAATGCGTTGTATTCGGCAAAAATCATCACCAGCATTAACATTTTCTTGTAAACGTGCAAATTTATTAAATGTTCCCGTTATTTCTGCTTTCTTCTATGATTATCGTATGGTTTTTTATTTTTCTATCTTTATTTTTATTAATTTTATTAATTAATTTGATTAAATTATCGTATGGTTTTTTGCTTTTTCTGTCTTTATTTTTATTAATTTTATTAATTAATTTGATTAATTTGATAAGTACAACAATAAATATTTAAAAAAATTGTTAAAAAAGGTAAAATAATTATATAAAAATGCTGAAATAATAATCACTTAAATTCTAAGTTTTCTTATGAGTTCATCTTATGGTTTAATTATTTTCCAATGAATGCAAAGATTGCGATGTGCGATGTGCGTGAAAATTATTAAAATTATATTTTTCACATTCATCGCTAAACTGCAATGTTTACCTACATTGTTCTTATTAATATAGATTAATATAGATGTTTACCTACATTGTTCTTATTAATATAGATTTTAATTGAACTTATTTCCTTCCTTTTAATATCAAATATACAAAACACGAAATATGGTAAAATAACGGTAAAATATGGTAAATTAATTTTTATAACGAAAAATTTAACAGTGAAATGAAAGTTTAGCCCGAGAAATATATTTTTATGTTTTTTTATTGCTACTTAGAAATATCTATATTATCATTTAATTATTTTGTTAATAATTTTGCTATTAAAATATTATTGATTTATTTAAATTAATTTGAATGATTTTTAATTTTCCAATAATTATTTATAGAAAATTTTAAAATTTCAATAAAATTTATTTATAGAAAATCATAATAAAGCACAACGAGTATTCTTAATGGAAGGCCTAATTGAAGTGAAAAAGAAAATGAATTCATCTGGCATTCCATTAATTTGTTTAAAAGCAAACAATAAAACGGCTGTTCAAATTGCCGCAGATCTTAGTAAATGGGCTTGTGAAGTTGTCATCGATGCTGGTTATCTTCGTCATGAACGTTTATTTGAAGAAAACCTCAATAATGTTTTAGTCGATGGTAATCGCCGTTTAACTCGTGTGGAGGGCAATGTTGTTGTTCCAGTGACGGTATTTATTTTTTTATTAACATTGAAACATTTTAGTATTTCGCTTTTCTATAGCGTTTATCCTAACTTGCTCCAACTATATTTATCAAGTGAGATCAGTTCATATCTCTCAAAATTAATAGATGTAATTGATAAAGTGAAACTTGGCTGTTCGAGACCTATATGCACTTTTATCACCAAATCTTTGATAAGCAAATCATTTAAATGCTTTAGTTCGATTAATTGAACCAGCCAAGGCTGAAATACTGAAAGAATGAGAATTAGATTTATTGTATATTGTAGAAGAGATAGCTTATTGTTAACGAATAATAGTAAGATTTTACTGGTCATCTGTTTACCAATTTTCCTTTTCATGAAATGTTGTGCTTTTCATGTTTCATAGTTTCAGTTTTTCTTAAAAATTCAAATAACAGATACTGTTACTGGGAATTTGAAATGATTAAGTGACAATTAGAATAAACGCCATAAATTTTTCTTATCAGAATAAACAGTATTCAAATATTTTATAGTTGGCAAGTAGTTTACTGGAATTTGGAGCGCGCACTCTGCGACCAAAAATTTGGCAACATGTAGCAGATATGTTGAAGGAAAAATGGAATGATCAGCCTATAGTTCAGTGCAAGGATTTGAAAAGGTTTTTGTGCTTAATTTTTTTTTTTTGTATTTTTGAATATCTTATATGATAGCAATTTGATTTATTGTTCTGTATGTTTATATTTGTTCGGAAAAATGCTTCTTGTTGTTCGCCTTGCATTTGGAACCATACGGCTTGAAGAGCTAAGTCGGAGATGGTAACTGGTGTATAGTGGTTCAAGGTAGATCATATTGTAAGATGTTTCAACGAATATTCGTCTCAATAAGTTTGGGAGCTATAGGCCCTTTGTTATCTCTATTCGCTTTATTGACCATCAAATGGAGTTTACGAAAGCAAAGTAATTTCCAATTATCACATTATTAACAACCGTAGGACTACATTATTCTGATAACGATAACGATTTTTGTTCCACTATACCGTTATTGCACACCATCGAAGTGACCAACGGTTAGAGATCTCATGCCATACGGATGTGGTGATTTTTCCAGTTTTTCCGCTGTCTCATTTCGCATATTCTTGTGTGAATTTAGCGAAAATCGATTCCTTTCTCTTTTTAATTCTTTCTGGATTCGTTTCACATGCCTTTCATTTGTTCCTCTGTGCTAATACATTCGGAACACGATAGGCACCTTTGGCTCTCATACTATATTTCACGACGTGGTAATTAGAGGAATAAGTTTCCCCCAAAAAGAAATTATATTTTCCATGAAAAACAAAAAATAAGAGAGATTATATAAGAAATAATAGAAATAGAAATAATAGCGGAAAAAAGTTGTAAAAATTGTGAAAGCATCTATTCAAGATCATTGCAGCACTTATCTCATTTTTTTATTTTTATTTCTCAATAACAGGGATTTGGCGAGTATGAAAATACAGTAGCAGGATTTGAAGGGATATTGGCGGAATATAACGAGTTTCAAATGGAAGTCAAGGAAGCCGGGTTTGAAAACGGTTCTACTCATCCGTTTTCTGTTTTTATTAGTTCAGTAATATTTTAAATATATGAATAAGTAATATCCTGATCAGGTAATATTCTTTTGGCTATTATTTAAGCACATATTTATTTTCAGTGTTGTTGATGTTAAACTCGATTATATGGATTTATCTGTTGAATTAAAAGAAGCGCTTGAACAAAGGAATTCAAAAAATAAATTCATTGGGGGTGAAAATGAGGCTTCGAAAACACTGGATGATTTTATATCGAAAAAAATAAATGGTTATGAAACCAAACGGTAGATATTTTTTATTCTCTGTCATATTCCTTCATTCTTTTCTATGGGTTTATTGATATTTAGAGTGCTTCTTTTGGAAGAAAATCAGTTGAAGATTGAAATTCTGCTATCTAGACATCACTTTCATTGCAAAAATTTATTGCTGATAAGGAGTCGAAATCAGATCTCTATTCTGCTAATACTCCTCTACTCGTACCATACTTTATGGATTTCTTTTTGGAATTACTTGAATTCCTCTACATCTGAATTCTTCAGATATAGCCGGATTTGTTAAATAAAAGAAATTGTCCACTTTTTTTTCATTTACTCAGATTAAAATGGATCAAGAAATTTGAACAATTCTAATGGTTATGTGACAAGTTTTGCAGTAATATACCTGGTACCGATTATCAGAGCTCTCTTTCACCATATTTGCACTATGGTATGATAAATCCCGTGGATATAATTCGCAGAGTGAATGAATCGAAAGTTAATAAAGCTTCAAAAGGTTATTTCTTTATTTTAATTACTTCTAGATTTTAACTAGAATTTTTTTTTAGATATTCAAGTTTTTCTAATATATAATATATAACATCTAAAAACCTAAAATTTTTAAATGATTTTTGTTAAAAAAAATCATGAGCTCGTGAAATTCTGTGCCCTTATAAAATTTTGCCGTTTCTAGGAAAATATACATGAAGTTTTTCATAGTGGAAGATTTATATTTCATATCATGCCCGATGTTTTTTTATTTTTCCCCAATTTATTTTTTATAGATGCTTTCATTGAAGAACTACTTGTCCGAAGAGAATTATCCCACAATTTCGTTTATTATGCAATGGATAATTATGATAAAGTAAGTTTGGCTTTAATTTTTAATTTAATTTAATTTTTAAATATTTTTAAATGTATATTTGTCGATTATTGTTTAAAAAAAACACTTTTTAAATAATTTAACATACTTTTTACAATTTATAGCTCGATTGCTTACCTGATTGGGCGAAGAAAACCATGAATGAACATCTAAAAGATAAGCGAGAAAATTTATATACTTACGAACAGCTTGAACAAGCTCAAACGCATGATGCTTATTGGAATGCTGCTCAACTCGAAATGGTTCACACTAATAAGGTAATAACCATTTGCCAAGAATATTTTTTGTTGGAGTAAGATATTGTCTTACTTTGGAGCGTCATTATTGATCCTGGCAGAAATAAATTTATCTTTAAAAGCCTGGATAATGGTGGTCCATCTGTATTTATATCACTAGGTGGCCCTCTGGTAAAATTTGTTTAATCCGACTATGACCAGAAGTGATGAGCACTCTTAGGCAAATAACAGACAACTTATAGACAAAAAATAACAACTTCAACTTTATGGGAAATTTTCATATTCATTATCGCTAATATAGCATCATTCTGCAGATGCATGGATATTTGCGCATGTATTGGGCAAAAAAAGTTATAGAATGGACTCCCAGTTATCAACATGCTCTTGATTTTCTTATTGAACAGAATGATAAATATGAGCTCGATGGTAATGATCCCAATGGTTATGCTGGCGTTTTTTGGAACTTTGGTTTACATGACCGTGCCCATGCGGTAAATATAAGTATTCTAACTATTAACATTTATCATTTGACTAAGGCATATGCAACAAGTTTTTAGGTGCTTTCCAAATTAAAAACAAATTTATAGGAAAGGAAAATATTTGGCAAATTGCGATACATGAATGCTGAAGGATTGCGAAGAAAATATAAGAATAACATCGAAAAGTTTGTAGAAATTAATTACCGCTTAGCAAATCGACAACTTGATGAACCATTGCCAAAAAAGAGCAAAAAAAGTTGAATATTTATGATTTAAGAGAGTTTATTGACCTTATTATATTGATCTTCTATATTTTTCGTTTGCACAAACATTTCTTTGTTTTTTTTTGAAGATTTCTTATTAATCTTTTGATTTTTTTAGCTCGGCTTTTAAGATATACCTCATAAAAACCAAAAAATGTCCATTTCTAGAATATATTTTGCGTGGAAGTAACGCTTTATAATACTTTTGTTTAGTTTCGTGCTCTTAGGACAGTCACCATGGGCGATAAACACCATGCAATGCTCATTCCTTGACAGGATAAAACCTATTTTTAGAAGTGGATATATGCGGCAGTGATTCCTCCATATTACTGTTACCAAGATAGTGGTGGAAATGTCCTAATTCTAGTCCAATCTAATCCTGCCAATCAGCTGAAGCAGAAGAAGTAGAAACCTCTCTATTGGGATAAAAATGCTAATTAGAAAGAGACGAGGAAAGTCAATATTTTATTGTTCGCTCACCAATTAATTATTTCATCATCTCAGGAATTTATTAAAAATCATATTATTTCATATTTTGTTATATTTATTTGTTGTTAAATTGATATGGTTTTACTTCTTTTTTATTGTTTATCATCCAGTTTTATCAACTTGTTTTTATAAAAAAAGAATTTAGCATTTATTTTTTTTATATATTTTTATTTCGCAAATATCAGTAAAATTTAATGTTTCCTTAATTAACAGATAATTGTCATGGCCAAGATAAGTCATGAGAAGGAAGCTACGTAAATTCGACATCTTGGCACCAAAAATAAAATCATCATTAAAAGAATAAACCACCTTCTAGGCACGGACTTTCCTCTTATCATAATTGATATTATTTGATAATATTAATAAATATTAATAAATGAAATTTCCACATAAAAATAATTCGTTTGTATTGTCTGATAATTTTTAATTTTAAAAGAAAATTTTTTCTTTCTTTGTATTATACGAAATTGGACATTTATACGAAATTTTCGAACAAATATTTTTCACGATATTTTCTGGCAAATAGATATTCTTTGTTAATCTCGTCAGGATGGGTCAGATTGGCCTCCGTTCGTTGTCGTTTGATTATTTCTCGGACACTGTGGCATAGCCGGTGAGACGAGACACACCAGGTTTTCTCAAACTCTCTACTTCATTCTGTTATGCAATGGTCATTTGCAGAGATATTGAGAGGTCTTGTCAATTTTCATTCTATTTTTGGAACATTTCAGGTATCGTTGTACATAATACCTAGTGATCTGGTTGATAATGAAAGTACCTCAGCCGAAATTTTTTAAATTCCGTCGTCTATTGCAGCAATTATCTTACATGAGTCGTCAATGGCGCCATAATTTCGTCTCAAAAATCTATTTTACATTTGGAATTTATCTCATTAGGTAAGTATAGAGGATTTCTTCAATTGAAACTTCCTAATTCTTATTACATTATTGTTAAATATTATAGTTATAACGTATTAGTACGTTTGTGGAAAGGCCCGGAGCATCCAGTGAATCGGTTCAGGTGGCGAATTATGGAATATAGAGGTGAACTAAGCGATGAAATGATTCGAAAGAAACGTGTAACGCAAAACTTCTATCCAGCTCTACAGAATTACTTGAAAGAATATAGAGACAAAAGTTTCGCCAAATATCTCAATCCATAAGAGATGTAATAAAATGAAGTGCTTTTAGAATTTCGGCAAGTATCAATTTATATTTATAGCATATTTACAGATAAATAGATTTTTTAATTAATTTGTTTCTAAAATATAAAAAAAATATAATTATATATAAAATATTCTATTCTATATACGATATTAAAATATACGACAGAACGAATAGATCATCTAGCCGAATTTCAATTATGATAACAAATTTATTTATATAAACGGTTAAAACGATTAATTAAAATTAAAGCAATATTACTATTTCGTATTCTACGACACCTTTGGTTTCGATTCCAAGATATTTTTTTGACGGAATGAGAAAGCCCTTCTTTTACTAAGATGAAAGAAATTTGAGATAACTGATAATATTCGATGTTATTAGAAGTATTTAAAAATTTAAATTTAAGGTTAAACTTATTTTTGTCATCGCTACAAATTATAAATTTAAATTTAAGCGATCATTTCATTTTTTAATTATTTTTTCAGAAATTATTTCCAACTTTTACATAATACAATACGATCAATTTGCTTTCAAATTCTTAATTCAACAAATTCTATCAAAAATCGCTAGAACATAAGGATTTTATAGAACCAAAAGAAGAGTTACGAGTTAAGAATTATGTTATTTTAAAAGAATTGAAAAGAATTTAATTTTTCCAAAAGGACAGGTCAAAAATCGCCTAGCTTCAAACATCAACTCTATTTCTATTCTTTGGAGAGGCAATAAGAAATTCGAATAGTGGTGGAATAAAAACTGGCGTTGAGGACTTAATTATGCATCTATCATTAACAGATTCTTTGGCTCTCATATCAATGATCCCAGCCAAAATTAAAGCTGGTTGAAGTAATAGAAATGGTGGAATAGCAGAAATGTTCAAAAGCGAATAAGAATTTGAATAACCTGAATAATTAGTTAAAATTAGTTTTTAATGCACTTATTCAATCAAATTTAATGGCCGAACTCTATAAGCAGGATAGAAGAACTATTCTTCAGAAAGTGCCTTTTGAATAAGTTTTCCATAGTAGGTTCCAAATACTTGCCTATTATGCGAAACGATTCGGATGAAGGGACCAGCAACAGCCAAAATTTCTTGCTGAACATTTGTGAAGCGCATTAAAATATCGCGGGGGAATGAAAAAGATGAAACCTTTGCATAAAACAAAGCATACAGACGTTTACCTGAAAATTGTATTCAATCCTTATAGCATGAAGAATGTGCCTCAGTTTCTCTACAAATTTAAATTTCAGTTTGATCTTCTATAAATATAAATATAATATATATAAATATAAAAGAATATAAATATAAAAGAAAATTTAAAAGAAGGAAAAAAAGAAAAAAAGGCATTCAAGCAAAAAAATTTCAACGAAAAATAAGGAACTAATTAAATTTATAAAATACAAATATTTAAAAAAAAAATTCAATAATTATTTAGAGAAATAAGTCATTGATAGTAAACATTAATCGATGGCAAAAACTATGAATTTAAACGTACAAATAAGTTTTCGAACACTGTTATTTTCATCACTTAACGCAAATAAAGATTTCCTTAAGGTTTCTGAACACTCTTTTGTCCAGTTTGAACACTTTAATTCCAAACAACTTTTCTCTATCCTCGAGTTACAATGAAGAAAAACTGCTTCAAGTTGATCATTTATTGTTCTAAATGAAATTTATAATGCAAGAAAGGAAAAAAATATTTCAAAAAAAATTTTCCTTCACAGTTTAAAATTGACTTCAAATTTCAAAAAGATTTAAAAAATTGAGAAGGCTTAACATCTGTGAAAGAAATGTATCATTAATGGGAATTCCGAATAAATTTTTCCAATAAGCAAATTTTTTTCTTGACACCATCAAATTTCTAGGCGGATTTAAACGAAAAATTTTGAAATAGAAATTTTGAAATACCTTGACGTGACTCCTTTTAATATCGCAAACATTTCATTTTTTAATGATTCTTTAAAGCCGACTGAAGTAACAATATCTTTTCCAGCCAAATTATAAGAAACCGATAGACAACATGTAGTTATGTTCAATTGAAAATATGAAGCGGCCAGCGCTTTTAAGTGCAGATGATCTATCTGAATATTTATGAAATAATTCTATTTAGAAGAATTATCGAATTGCATTCAAATTTGATATTATATGAGGAAAAAACAAGTCGATATACTGGATATGTAATAAAAATATGCAACCATAAGCGTTCCTGGATAAGGATTAGCGTCGTCCCACTCCAATAATTCCATATAAGCGTGGCTAATGATGTCGCTAATTTCCGAATTATTCAATTCCTGCAAAATCCGCAAGAAAGTTTTTTAAATACAATTGCTACTAATTGTATTTATTACCGTCGTTAATGAATGACATTAAATATCTTTATAAGATAAATTTTCTAAAAGCATAAATTTCAATTTTATTAATAAACTGCTATTTACACATTCATACATAAAAAATTCATTTATAAAATACTGGCAATGCATAAATTCTGAAAAGTTCATTTTTTTCATTTTTTTTTCATTTTTTTCATAAAAATATGAAATACTTCAAAGCGGCGCTTTCGCAAGGGACTGCATGAAGTAGGCTTCTCATATATAGCAACACCAGATGATAATGCATGCTTTCGTAACCAATTAAACGTCATTTCCTCTAGTCCTCAAATAATTTAGTTGCTGATTTTGAGACCCTTGAACATTATACATAATCTTATTATAAACTATCAACAAAAATAATAAAGTACTTGGATTGTGTTCGATCAATTTCTGAAATTGTTTTCTTTCATATTCAAAAGCATATTGTTGAATAAGCGGTCGATATTGCCTTATAGAAAAATTAGCCATATCGAGTTTCATTGTTTCCAAAAGTTCGCAAATACCTCTAAAATATTCTTGAAAAAATAAAATAAATATCAATTGTATATCTCTATTTATAATGCATCCCTACGAGGTGTGAAAAATAATAGCAAATATACCGAAATACTTCAATTACATCAGTCCTCCCTCTGATTTCAGCGATTGCTTCATCTCTCGCTGGAGCACATAGACGACCCATCAGATCTAATATTCGAATTGAAAGACCTTTTATATCAAGACAGTTATTCTCTATTTGTTGAGTGAGAAGTTTCTCATCAAGCATAAATTCAACTTCCGAGCGAAGTCGAACATGACGATTATCAAGCAAATCCAAAAGCATCTGAAATTCGAGTCAGTGCGTCAACAACTATCAGTAATCAGATAAAAAAGATATGATTGTTAGCTGACAATAGTTTTTATTCTCTTTGACAACTTTAAATTAAATATCTATGAAATAAAACAAAACTTAAGCAAACAAGATATTTCAGTATATGATTTATATTTATTTATATTTGTATTTATTTATATTTATTTATCAACATTTTTTTGATAACTTTCTTTAAGCGAGTTTAAATAATTTGTTAGGCACTTCTGTAATTCGGTCGAAGTTCATGAAAAAATCATGTAGGATTTCTTTAAATCTTCTTTAAAAAGATGCAATTTCCTTTTTTTGAATAGTGATAAGAAGTTTTTTTTTTATTTCAGTACTTAATATTTTAAAAAATAATTATGTTGTAATATAATGTTAATTATCTTTTTTTTATTTATAATTTATTAGCAATTACAGTTTTGAATTTGATAATATTTGGTATATATAATTCTTGAAAATTTTAAATAATAAATAATACTTTGCAAATAATTATAAAAAAAGAAAAGGAAATATGCGCAAAAAAAAATAAATTTAAAAGTCACCAAACTTTTTTGATATCCCGTAATAGTTTTAATTCGTGCGAGTGATCAGAAGATTCTCGCATAAAATTTTCACGAAAATTATCCCAAAACGCTTTATGGAGAAATTCTTTCACTTGTTTTTCCAATATATTCAAAGGTCTTTCATCGATCTTAAATTCATCATTCAGTGCAATTTCATGTACCAATGCCATATTTTCGATTGTTAAAGAAACGTCCAAAATTTCGTCAATATTTTCCACTAATTTATCTGCAGTGTATTTTTAAAAAAAAAGTAAGCAGAAGCAATAGTTAAAAAATTTCTAATGAAAAGACATTTATAAAATATGAAGAATAACGAATAAAAATTAATTTGAAATTAATTGGAAAGCCAATAAAGCGAAAAAAGCCGATAAATGTAAAAAAATTTGAAAAAAAAATGGAATGTTCAATATAAAAGCAAAACAATAAAATCTATTTATGAATAAGGAGAAAAATATTATAGTGAAATTTAAAAAAAAAAAAAAAATCCATGCTTTCTTCTTTCTTTAAACTATCCATTGCTACCAATATTTATATTTTATCAATATTTTTTTTAATCAATATTTTGACTATTCGGTTGCGCATAGCCGAATGATTACAAGGCTATTACTATTATAATTTGCCAAATGTTTGTATGATTGCTAGGTGAAATGAAATTCTATTTGGCTAGACGTTTAAATAAATTAAGGTCAAATGAAAAAAAAATTGGAAATAACTAAAAATAATTAAAGTATAAAGAAAATTAAATTATAATTGAATTAAATTACAATTATAATTGAAAATTAAATTAAATTATAAATGTTTCTGTATATAAAAGTATTTCAACATGCAAACAATACAAACATATTTAAAAAAAAAAGAAAAAAAATAAAATTCAAATTGTGGTTCTTCAAAAATATCTTTGAATTATTTTAATAAAATATTTATTTTTATTATTATTTTCTTCCAAAAAAAAACAAAATTTACCATCGAAATCAAAATAAAAAAAATAAACTAACCATTCGCCCAATCTGGAAAAAAATCCGATTCTATTAAATTTTCATTTGTCGAATATTCATCGATTTTTCTCTTCAACGATGATGATGATGGTGCATTCATATTTGATGATTTACGCGTTTCCTTATCACTTCTATCATTATCATTATCACAGAATTCATCCTCCATTTTTGTAAAATATAATTATTGTAAAAAGAAAGAATGAATGAATTTTTATTCTTTTCTTATTTTTAACTGAAATAAAAAAATTGAAAAAATCATTCGATAATAAACATTTATTTCAAGTGATGCGAATTAATAGAAAAGCGATATTATTAGTTGTTCAAAGATGACGCGTAAAATCTCCTTTTTCCGCTTATTATATTCATATATATTTGCTACCTTGAAAAGAATCGTTATCACTTACGGTGATAAACTTTTATCAATCATTATCAAAAACAATGGAACTCAATCTCTCCCTCAAATCAATAAAAACTCATTGAACCACTAATCGAATAATTAGATCGAAAAAAAAAATTTAGACAAGTTTCGATAAATTCTTTAAATAAAAGATCACAGATGAAAATTCTCGTTGCGTGCGGGTGTCGCTATCAAAAAAAAAAACTTTATCAAAAAAAATATAATGAAAATTATTAATATAATAAACAAAATAAACGAATTAGAACAGTTGTTGTTATTTTTAAAAAAATTTAAAACAAAGGTTAAATTTAAAACAAAAATTTTAAATTTTCTTTAAATAGAAATTAATAGAATTCAAAATAAAAGTTTAAAAAATGAAAATAAATAAAATTTAAATGGAAAATAAATAAAAATAAAGAATAAAATTTAAAATATAAAGTTTAGTAAAATTTTAAAATACAAAAATTTAAAATAAATTTAAAATAAATATAATAAAATTTGAAATTTAAAGTAAAATTTAAAATATAAAGTCAAAAAATAAAAATTAAAACGAAAATAAAATGAAAATGTAAAATTAAATTCATATTTAATTAATAAAAATAAAAGGAAAAAATTTCAAAAACAAAAATCTAAATAAAAATAGAATTTAGAATTACTTTTTGCTAATTCGTCATTTCTAAACCGCTATTTCTTAGTTAATTACGGTTGAAAATTTTTGCGATGGAACCATTTGGCAATAGAAATATAGGTAGGTTTTTCAAACCGCTTGCATTTATTTAAAGAGACTCTTGCTAAGAGTACAAATTAGAAACGTTTTAGCTACCATTTACTTACTGCTAAAATTACAGTATTAATACGTTCACCTTGACGTACAACTTCAATTTCAACAGGCAATACATCTAAAATATTGAATTCTGAAATTTGAGAAGGTACAAATAGGCCGCAGTCACCTGGGTTTCACTCCACTGATTTATATATTTCAAGTATTATTTGTTATCAGTTAATCGAAGCAATGCTGGACTCAGTTATCAGTAAATTATTCAATTCGATTGGGGATAGGTTGGCTCAGTGGGTTTGCTCAATTGGCAGCGCTGATGCTGAGGTTCAATTCCCCGCAGCAGTAAACCTGTGCAAAAATCCTGACGATGCTCGCGACTCCCTTCTACTTCAATCGCCAAGGGTCTCTCTAATATTTGTCTAATGCGACAAGCCAACGGAGCGAATTTACCAGTAATGGTGAAAACTCTCTCTTTAAAAAAAATTACGCCAATCATAACTTTTTTTTTTAAATAAATTTATCTAAATTTTTACACTTTTTTTATTTTTATTTATATTTTTACATAATTGGCCATTTTTAAAAAGCGCTCGCCTATGGCTAATTCGGGTCGTTTTTCGTTGGCCAAAATCTCTGAGCGAATAAATCCATAAATAAAATTTTTCCATAAAATATTTGCATAATCGAACAATCGAAATACAATTATTAATCGAAATATTAAAATTTATTTTGTAATAAATATTTAATTTAATTAATTATTAAATAAGAATAAATGAATAAAATTCGATTCGATTCAATTGATAAAAATTTTGATTTCATTGATGAAAAGAAATTCGTTAAATTAATTAATTTTATTGATTAATTTTAATTTTATTTAAGTGATTTGCTGATAAAAAAGAAAAGCGTTTATCATCAATATCGAACGAAAATTTATTTATTTATTTTATTTTTGAGCTATTTTGAAAGCAGTAAACATAATCGAGTGGATTTGTTCGCTTAAATTGTCGAATTCTTTGAATTTCAAAAAGAGAAAGGGGGGGGGGCGAGGAAGGGAGGAAGTGGAAGAAGGAGAAACCGCAGTAAGCCTATAATTGAAAAGAGTGAACCGGCTGTAAGCCTGTAATAGAATAGTACTACGCATCTAAAATATTCTTTCTGCTATTTTTGAATTTTCGACAATTTTTATAATTTAATTAATTTTACTTAATTTTATTTTAATTTAATTTAATTTTATTTAATTTTAAAAAGTAATCCTTATTAATTTTATGAATTAAGATTTTTTAAATAAATAATTTAGACAAATTCGATAATATTTTGTGCAATTATTGTGCTATCGATTCAGTTGTACCTCAACAAGTGGTACCACAGTGAATTTTGGTTTGTTTAGGTGAGTAATCAGTTCAGCTAAAAATGTCCTAATAATTGTCCGTCACCATCCTTATACTATAGGCCAAATCCTTCTCAAATCAAGCTATGATCCCTCAATTTGTATAGATATCACCATGCTTTTTGCTATTGTCCTGCCTATTACTACTTATGAAAGATCTTCGCCCACTTCACCATTGAAACCCTCGAATTCTGTTCTGTGACAAAACCTATCAAACTCCCTCTCTTATCTCATAATGTATCTGTCTTTTTGTCCTAATCCACTTCAATCACCATTAAACATCCATATTTTGTCCATCCATATTTTATTCGCCCAGTGAAAATGAAGATATTAAGAGAGGCGAAGTGGAAGAGGGGGGAGGGGGAGGGGAGGGGGAGAAGGTGATGGGGAGGAGGGGCTATAGGGGGCGAGACGTTAAGAAAGTACAAAGACTTTAGAAGACCCCCCATTCTGTTTGCTAAGATTTGAAGATCACCCGTATCACCACTCGTAGAACGGATCGAAGATGCGTCGCGGCTCGTTCGTTTTATATCTGCGCGTTATTTCGAAATCCTTTTTTTTATAATAATTTTTTTTGAAATTAAACGAATGGATTTTTTTGGTTCGCGAAAATACGCAAAAGAAAAAAGTTATTTAATTTATTTATTAAATAATTTAAATAAAGCAAATATAGCCGATTGGTTCCTTCGGTCCCTTCGGTGAAGATTGCTAGGACCACACCGACCAAGCGGTGTACTTCTTGGACCAAAAATACGGACCACCAATCCGCATTTCTAATAGTTATCAGTTCTAGTTGGGCAGACTGCTAGTGATATAAGTAGATTGACTATCAGGTCAATCTCTATTTTTTGATGTTTGGCCATCTGGATTGCCGTTGAAAATATATGGTTGTTTTAAAAAGAACTCTCTTATTAAAGAAATGTTATCATAATTGTTATCAAATCAGAAATTTTAAGTGTTAACATCATAATCTTTTGCCTCGTTCGTCGTCTGCTTCTACATCTGTTATCAATTTTTTATCAGTCTAGTCTGAATTTTTTATACTCTTTTAAGTTCAATGACTGATAATTTCTCTTATCATAATCGTACGCATCTCTCTCAATTTTTTTAATATGGTTTTCTTATATCCTTTTTTCTTCTAATATCTCACATCGTCACTGGTTTGTTAGGTTTAAATTCGCAACTGAAGTGAGATATGAGGTATTTTTCGATCCAATGCCATTCATTTGTTAGGCGAGTGCTTTGATAAAATATGACGCTGATCCAGTGAAGATCATTCGACTCATAAGACTCATTTTATCAGCATATATGGACACAGATATGGAACTATGATTGGATTTTGGATGCCGTTTGCCGATATTCAAGAGAGATGTACAAATCACTTCAGATTAGGTGATTAGGCTTTGTTCTTCGTCGTCCAACATATAAATTGACGTATATCTCGCTACTTTCTAAACTCTATGACGGTGGTATTAAAAAAGCAAGGAAAACCAATCAAGAACTGGTCTGATACTGGTCTGAAAAAGTTTTGCAGGTATATCTATCAGCGACATATACGCTTAGGCGATGAATGGCTTTTGATTGTATTAACAATGATATAGGGTCGAATGACTTGAAAATATTTGACTCTTGTAGTCAATTTAAACAATGATGCAAAATATTATCAGCTTAAAAATGGGAATACACGGACACCGATTGACACATATGGCTCATACATTTGAGTTATTTTGAGGCTCAAATTACGCTCCAACAATCGCCCGAATTTTAGGCTTTTAGCCTGTTAGAAGGAAAGAAAATGAAATAATTAATAATGAATTACCGCTGCAAACGATAAAATTTGCTACGAAAATGATATGATATGATATGATATGATATGATATGATATTAATTGAACACACTAAAGAGAAATTTACAGGCGAAAGACAAAGGTGAGAAGATCGAATGACTATGCAAAATGAATAGTCCAACAGAACAGGTAGGCAAACAGACCGCTTCACGATTAATACATACAATGAATAGAAATTTCCTTCTGAAACTGAAAAAGTGTCATCCGTATAGTTGCGAGGCGAAGATGGGGTATTATAGGAGGAGTATTATAGGAGCAGTAAAGCGCTGAGGTTATCTAGAATGAGGCCACTCATTGTTGCAAACCTTTCGGGCAGAGTTGGGTTCGAGTCTAAATACGTTGGAACATTTCACGAACGATGATGAACGCTTTTCTAATTTATATTTTTTTCATCAAAAAAAGATGGGAAAATATTTTAAAAAAAAAGAAATTTTTTTTTCGAATAAAATTTGCTTATATTTAATTTTGTATTTAATATATTTAATAATATTAAATAAATGAAAAAATGAAAATAAATGAAAAAATTTATATATTTATCAAATTTTTATTTTAAGTTATTAAATTTTTTATTTATTAAATTTATTAAAATTAAAATTTAAAATATAAAAATATATTTTTAGAAATATTTGCGTTTTATGTTTATTTTTTTTACGAATTTTAAGATTTTATAAACTTTCAGATGAAAATGGAAAATAAAGTTTCGAGTGAAGTCTCGGGTAATGGATTTTTCGCTTATGTCGCATCTCTCGTATGTTTTTTCTTCTTTTTTTCTAATTTCTATTTTACATTATTCAAATCCTTTATGAAATTTGATTTTTCTTGAAGGAAATTTTTTTTCTTAATTTAATTTCTTGCAAAAAAGTAGTATTTAGGTGAAATTTTCGAAAAAGGATTCTCATTAGTTATCATATATTATCACAGATAATTATCAATCATAAAATAGTTAATCTTTTTATTTAACCGAAAAAAATTCTCATGTATCACACTTTTCATTTCCTCTATCACTTTTATCATTTTTTATCACTTAATAATGAAATTTTTTAAAATTTCTCTTTGCAGATATTCACGGACCTAATGACGCAAGGCTTTTTTTTATCTATTATTTTCTATATAACTATATTTGTTAGACTACGTAAAAAGGAAAAACGACTAAAATTAACGGCGGAGGTAAGTTTTTTTAATTTTTAATTTTTTTAATTTTTTCTTAATTTTTAATTTGTTGTAATTTTTAATTTTTAACTTAAATTAATTAAAATGAATTGGAATTTGCAATTGTTATTCTGTTTGTAATGCATTATTTAGCAAGAAGAAAAATTAATTGAGAAATGGAAACCGGAACCATTGGTCCCTGAAGTGCCACAAGATCATCCGCGTTTGGTGGCGAAATTCGCCGAAGGGTTTTTTATAAATTTATCGATTGATAAAATGAAATTTTGCAATTTCTTTGATTTTTTCCTAATTTCGTTGGTTATTATAATAATCATTATCATTATCACAATAATTATCATTTCAATTATATAATAATAATTATATAGTAATATAATAATACAATATTTTTGAAAATTACTCTATGTGATATTGAAGAAATCTTCTAGAAAAATGGATAAATATATCACTAGGAATGGCGCTAAATATTTCAATTTTGCTACTTTCAACTTTTTGAATTTTGTGGGTAATGAACGTATTGAGGTTAGAAAAATATTTTTAAATACTAAAATATAAAATATAATATTTTGAAATATTTTCAAAATTATTTTTAAATTTATTTGTTTATGAAACATTCATTCATCTCGTTTAATTACTCAGTTATATCAAAGAATTTTCAAATAACTTAAGTTATAAATTACTAATATTTTATTTTGCTAAATTTTGAAGAATATAGCGAAAATTACGATTCAAAAATATGGTGTTGGTTCATGTGGACCTCGAAATTTTTATGGTACTGTTGACGTCCATTTGAATTTGGAGAGGCAATTGGCAAATTTTCTTGGATGTGAAGAAGTTGTTCTTTATAGTTATGGATTTGCCACAATATCAAGTGCCATTCCTTCTTATGCTAAACAAGGTGATGTAATCTTCGCTGATAAAGGTGGGCTGATTCATGTGAAAAATTTTTAAATTTGTTATTTGAGGATATAAATTAAATTCTTTCTTCTCGATAAATGTATATTACTGAGAAATGTGATAGAGATAGAATTTTCCACTAGAAATTTTTTATCTTATTTGTAAATTCTTTTTTTTTCTGGGAATGCATCATCATCAATGCATCAGAACTTCGGTTTTGATTGCCTTTTTTGTCGGGAAGCGAGTTTGATAGAGCAATGGTCAGATTTCGAAGCAAAGCTAAAGTATTCCTCTATATGTACTCCATTTTATCAAGTGAACATGCAATAAGCATTTTAGGCTATTTATTTAAGCATTTTCAAATTATTGCAGCCGTGAATTTTGCAATTCAAAAAGGGTTAGAGGCATCAAAAAGTCGTATCGAATGGTTCGAGCACAACGATATGGTTCATCTTGAGAAGTTACTCAAGAAACAGACTGAAAGAGATCTAATGGTTTCTAAATTTCGATCTATTTTGTTTCATTTTATTTTTTACTTTACTATATTTCAGTTAATTGTTGATTAAGTAAAAACTTATGATGTTCGATTTTTTTTACTTTCTATTTTTTTCAAAGGTTTTTAATTCAAAAATATTGAGAATCCAAAAGTAGCAGCAAAAACACGTCGTTTTCTTGTGGTTGAAGGTTTATATGCAAACACAGGTGATCTTTGTCCATTACCGCAAATAATGAACCTAAAATGGAAATATAAAGTCCGTGTCTTTATTGACGAAGCCTATTCTATTGGTATAGTTGGTAGAACTGGCAGAGGTTATTTTTCTTATATTTTTTTTCTTCTTTATTTTGATTATAGAAAGTCGTGTCATATTATTATATCGTTGAGGACAAGTTCTTTTCAGGTGTGACTGAATATTATAACATTGATATTACTGATGTGGATTTAATAACTGGGTCGTTGGAATATTGCTTCGCGAGCACTGGTGGCTTTTGTGCTGGTCGTTCATTTGTTGTTAGTCATCAAAGACTTTCTGGTTTGTCTTTTTCGTTTATTTAATTATATTTATTTGTAATATTCGTTAGAGAAATTAAAAGATTTTGGTTTGAAATATTTTTTTCAATTTTTTTTCAGGCTTAGGTTATTGTTTTTCTGCTTCACTTCCGCCATTACTTGCAACTGCTGCAGGTATATCTATTTATATATCTTATTTTCTACATTTATTAAATAAATAATTTTTAATTTTTATTAATTTTTAATTTTTATGAAAATTCGAATTTTAGGAGAAGCACTGCAATTAATTATCGAAAAGCCTTGTCGTTTAACACGACTTCGCCTAAACTGTGAATATATTCATTTGGCTTTGATTAAAATTTTCAAAGGCACTCAATTTGAAATAGGAGGCTGGCAATATAGTCCTATTCAATTTATTTATTGCAAAAATAAAAGTGTAGATGAAGATTTATTGCTTGATAATATTGTTGATAAGGTTGGTTTAGTTTATTATTTGTCCAGTAGAGAATTGAATTGAAATCTGTCTTATTTGATTTGCAATTTTTTATCTTACGTTTTGTCCAAATATTATTAATAAGATTTTTCGGAATAAAGTTGCATATCAAAGTATGTTTTATCTAATTATTATCAGCAGATTAACTAAATTGATAAATAAATTGATAAATATTGAAGTTATTTTCATTTTTTTTAGATTATTTACATTTTTAGATTATTTTTTAGATTATTAGAATTTACTTTTAGATGAAAGAAAAATCATTCATAATTACTCGCGCTCGTTATCTGGAAAAGCAAGAACGTTTCGATGTTAGGCAGTGGTAAAAGTTTTTGCCTAAGTTCTCCATTCATTTTTTTCATTATTCATTTTTTCATTATTCATTTTTTTTTTGTTTTTCTAATTCATTTCGACTAAAACTAATCATACTTTCTCATTTTATACTTGCACTTCCTTTTCTTATTTAATTTTTATTTTTTTTATTTTAAGTATTCGAGTTGCAATTCAGTCGGACTTTAACCAAGAGGAATTGGAAAAATTCGTTAGTGCTATGCAAGAGGTCGTTTCAAATTATGCTTCTTGATTATGACTCGTTTTTTTTGTCTAAAATGGCCGTGAATTGTCATATTGTTTTTATTTGCGGTTTTAAACATAGTTTTTAAATTTTAAATTTTAAATCTCAATTTAGTCGCTATTGATTTTAGTTTGTTATATTTTCGAAAAATTTTTTTTCCAAAAGAAAAATTTTAATTGTCGATGGCATTTTCTGTCCGGACTTACCCATAGATTTTATAGTTTTCTTTTCTTTTTTTGACAAGGCGCCATTTATTGTCTGGTTAGTTCCATTATCTGCTCAGGTTTGGCTGTTTGAGCGTAGGAATCGAGTTAAGTGCAGTTAAGGTTTTAAACATCTATCCCTGTTAAATTATGTCTATAAATTAGTCCACGTTTTACGAATATTATTGCAATTTAAATTTATATTATTTAATATAAATTTATTTAATATTGCACTTATGCATTCACTTTATTTCACAATGTTAGGCCGTATTTTATTATTAATTTTATTTCATTCTGAGGTACTGATCATTCATTCTATAAATGGTCTTATTTTTTTTTCCCATATTTTGGGAATATGGATTGGTTTATAATGGTTTATAATGGAAGATAGCCTATTTAGATAAGTATTCTTATCAAATTTTGTTAATCAATAGGTGATTCAAATTTTGTTCAGAATGAAGTTATCAGTGCTTATTATAGTTGTTAATTCAAAAATTTTATAAGATAAATATTCATTTAATCACTTTTGTTTAAATTGCCATTATATCTTTCTTATTCTGATGATTATCATATTCTAGCACTTAGCAAATGGAAATAAATTCGAGATTAATATTGTCATCAATCTTAGTATTTTATCATTTTATCAGTGTTAGTGGCAGGGTTTTCAAAATATTATTATCCATCGAAAGTGTTCACGAATGATTTGAACCGGGTTAAGATATTAGTTAATTATAATTTGCCTGTCAACATAAGTTAATAATAGATCAATCATCGATAATGAGGTTTTTCATAGGATTCAATCATCCGTATAAAAATTAAATCAGATACCAAAATATCAGCAATCGTATACTCTTCATGCATTTCAAAACATAGTATTTAATTTATCATCAGCCGATTATACATAAAAATGATTATTCAAACATTGTTAGAAAAAAAAATTTTTTTTTTATTAAAAATAAAAGTAATTGTAGTAATTTTAAAAATATTTAAACAAAAATTTCTATACTCTCACCGAGAGTTGCTAAAATATTTCACTTCAAAGAAGTATACTTTCATGGTTATTCAATTGATACATTTGATATATTTTTTAAAAAATAGCTGATAGAAGAAGTACTGCAGCGTAGATTTATTTATTATTTATTTATTCTTATTTATTTTTTTAAAAGCACTCATCACTGTTGATTTGGCTTACTGCATTGGCTTGTCGAACATAGGCAAATATTGTTGCATTGGCGATAGAAATACAGGTGAGTCGCTAACCCGATTAACCCGATTATGGAACATATAGAAAAAAGTTCGAGCCACGATTAATTCATCCATCTTTCACATCATTCTAAGAGTTCTAGCGAAAAATTTTTCTATTATTATCCATAGTTATTTCGTTCTTAAAAGGACGATTAATTTCTAATAACTAATCGTCAATCAACTATCCATATCAGATAAAAATCTTATACTATATAAAATATCAATTTCGTTGATTTATGCATAATAAAGGCCAAACCGATCTGATACGCGAATTACTACTACTAATCTATCATTAATATCGTCCTTCAACCAATTCTTTTTTTTTACTATAAACGGATTTCATTTATCGTATGTCGGATAATCCGATACTATCCGCCTTCTTATCGACTATTAGATTCTGTAAGTTTTATCGTTAACAATTATTTCGTCCACATTTTGGTATATAACTTATCGTATAAATATATTGGTGTTCTACGGCGGTAGTTCCATAGCTCCATCTTGGCATATAACGTATATAACATTATCGTATATATATATATATTGGTGTTCTATTGTGCGTCTGTCCCTTATTTATTTCATATCATGTCAGCAGTATGCCAGTGCAATACCATATGATTTATACAGAAGGTACCGCGAGCCGCTGGTTAATCCACAATCGAAATAAATAAGAAGTGGAAGTTCGACGATAATATGAACCTCCATATAGATAAACTATATCCAATAAAAATTAACAAAATTAACGATGGTTCCACCTTGGCATATAACATCGTTGTTAATATATAATAATTGTTAATATATATATACATTGGTGTTCTACGGCGATAGTTCCATAGTTCCATCTTGGCATATAACATTATTGATCTACGGCGATAGTTCCATCTTGGCATATAACTTATCGTATATATATATATTGGTGTTCTACGGCGATAGTTCCATAGTTCCATCTTGGCACATAACATTATTGTTCTATGGCGATAGTTCCATCTTGGGATATAACATTATTGTTCTATGGCGATAGTTCCATCTTGGCATATAACATTATTGTTCTACGGCGATAGTTCCATCTTGGCATATAATTTATCCTGTGACAAGAGTATGGAACTATGGAATATATAATTATTTCATCTATGTTCTCTAAAATATTTAAACAATCTAGCTTTTTTTCTTCTATTTTGATTTTTTTCTTTGAATTCTCATATTTGAAATTTTTCCATGAATCAATATTTAACTATAACTGAAACCGTCTTCTCTTGACCGAAACTCTATTTCTTCATTGCTATTTCCAGTAAATGAAATGAACTCACCTGGTATAAATAATTGTAGAAATTTCCTGTTAACCTGGTTTCGTCGATTTTTATATAAAATTGTTCCAAATGCAAATATATGTGTGAACATCTAAATAATGCAATGTGTAATTTTTGTCATTCAATTAGCATTTCAATCCGTCAATATTGAAAAGATTTACAACTCGTCGTTTTCGAAATAAATGTCATTGAAATTTTTCAAACAATTAATCTTTTATTTAAGCATTTCTTTTTTGCAACTTAATACATACAAATGCATATTATTGAAGGAAATGATTGGCTTCAATAACTGGTTCGAATCGTGGAACTTGATTCATGGAACTCGATGCCAGTTCCTTAATGTTCTACACGTATTATTAACGGTGGAATAAGGTGATTGATGTCGGAGGTAATTTTCCAAATAGCTTTTGCGAAAGGCTATTAATCAAAGCTATGCCATCAGAATTTTTTAATGATACGCCATTGCTGTTGATTCGCAAAAAGAGTGCCAGTTTCGATCTTTTATGCCTGAGGCGATAAATTGAATAGGCGATGATCTAAGTAAAAGCTAAAAGATTTTCAAATTTTCTTTCGCCACTCGTATGGCCATTCGGTTTCCCTATCTTTTTTTTTTATATGACGATTATTACTTATAATTATTACTTATTATTACTTATAAGCAATTCATATAATGCTACTAATAATTAAAAAAATGAAAAATTATAACGTAACACTTCGAAGAAAATAATCGCCCTGGTCTTTGGACGATGTAATTTTAACGTAATTTACAATTTATAAATTATTTTGAACCATTTTTACAAACGTAATAGATCAATGTCAATCACAAAATTATTGAGAGTTTGATGATTTGAATGAGTTTCAATTGGTGACATTTAGTGATAATATAATTAATCAGTAATAATAATATTAAAAAAATTTAATAGGTATTGTAAATTATCACTGATTATCATTGTTAATATATGTCAACATTGAATCGAAATTCGTTTTCAAAAATAAGAAAAACCTAAAAGATTTTCAAATTTCTTTGTATCTCGCATGGAGCTCAGATAATTTATATTTTTGTTAAAACAAAGAAATTTTAGTTTTTCATTAAAAAAAAACAATTTTTTCTCCTTTCTCATTTTTCTTAGTTAAATGGCTCATAATGACTCTATCAAATGAATGTAGTCGTTAATTTTATCACTAAATAGCTCATTGGTAAAATTTACTTGATCGGATAAGCCAGTGAACGGGATTAATCACAAATAATAAAGGCCTTTTAAGAAAAAAAAAAAATTGGTGGACTTGTAAAAATTTTCATTAAAATTAGAATAATTTTTTTTAAGAATAAAATTTTAATGGGGAATTTTTCGTGTATATCTTGAAATATTAAATTTAATAAATTTGTTAAATTAATCGACCATGGCGACATTATTTTGCTTTGATAACCTTCGTTACCCAATCACGGTTATCAAAAGTAATTTATCTTTTTTATATCCTCTTTAATTAGGCGATGATTTCATCATTCAGCTGTCAGTAACGCTTATCAATGACCCAGTTTCACTCTAATTGAGTTACATATTCACTAAATTCTTTTAAATATTTCCTGATTAACCAATGTGTTTAATTCGAAATTATTTATTTTATATAATGCATGCATGATCTCAATTCACGGTCATTTCGAATAATTAATAGAGATGGATTCATGAGAATTTTTATCATCTATTATCATACATTCATAATATTATCACTGGCACACCATGAACTTGAATGAATTTAATCTTTATTGTGAAGTGATAGATAATTAATGATTATTTTATGAAAAAGATAAATGCAAAGTTTTTTTTATGAAGATTTTAAAATGACTTATAAGGTTTTCAATCGTTTCCATGCAAATTCAGAAACAACTTCATGAAATATTTTTTGTGATATTTTGCGAAAGCTATAAAAAAATATAAAAAGCTATAAAAATTGAAGTAAAATGGTCACAGCAGATCGCTATACTTTCTATTCCTCTTAGTTTATTTTAGTGGTCTTATTCCTCAAGCTTTCACCTGCCATATATTCATATTTACCGCTTTTCCGAACGCCAAGTACCAACTGAAATTCGGGAAATCTTATTGAAACCTTAACACAAAGTTTCGACACTTAAAAATTCATCGACATCATTGAAATATTACACATGGTAGGAACCTTTTTTTTTTTAATAATATAGAGATTTCCTAAAGAATTTTATTAGTTTTTCATCGTTATTTGCCAGTTTAGAATTTAACCGTCA